CCCCCCGCCCCAGTCACGCATATCAGAAGGTTGGCACATCTCCCCAACCATTACTACTCTTGTAGCTACGGAGTCACTTGTTGCACATTCGTGCCATGCACAGCTTCAGGCAATCGCAAGCTCTAAACAGTCGCTGTGGATTCGGTTGAAGAGCTTTTTGATGAAGCAGGCGAGAAATATGAAGTTGAAGGGGAGGTCAGTGCCACCAGCACAAGCACATGACCTTCAATAGCTGGCATGGTAAGCTTGTCGCTGTGATGGCCTGGCTAACACCAGTCAATTCAGTTGAGTTTATTGTCGAACTGCTGCCATCTACCCATCTCAAACGTGCATAGACCACGTCCGGTTGCTCGCGACCTACGCTCGCTGCGCGTTGGTAGGCTGCCTGCAGACAGGAGTAATCGAATTCGCTCGTCTCGCTACTTTCTACATAGACATCATGCAAATCGATACAACCGAAGCATTCGAAGGCAGTACTGCCAAAGTTGTTCGTGACACATTTGCCCTTGCCATGCTAGAAATGCATAAGATATGAATCCTAATCGGGATGCAGCTCTTTGACGTACGCCTTGTATGACGGTAAGCGCTTGTTTCCATGGCAGGCGCAAGAATATGATTGCCTTCTACACGCACCACTACAACCCCATTTGCGCACCATACTCGCCAAAATCGATTTACCAACTGGCGGACAATATGTCGTGAACCTAAAGGCCAAGGCTGAAAGTTCGCCAAGTTCACACCTCAGGTAAGATCCTGACCGCTAGTATGTAGTTGCGGAATATGAGGCTGACCACTTGCGGAAGGTATCTGACGCACCGTGCAGACCGTTATCTGGGAGCTGTGGAGCCTCAGCACGGGGCTCTAACCCGAGTCGCAACAAATACTTCAGGACAATGTGCTCAAGAATTGGGAAAAGGTGAGAGCGTCTGCACCCCTGCAGCACCCGGCCATCCTTGACAAATTCTTATGCTCTTACACGTTGCAAAGCGAGTTCACTTAGGCTCGTCTGCCTGGTATAAGCTTCGAGCGACAATGCGCGCAGGGATTGAACGGTGAAGCTGATCTTTTGCTAGAGGTTTGATGCGCATTTTAAGCCAGGTCCAGCTGACCGATATATTGACAGCGCTGAGTCTTCTTGTTGCACACTTACGGCAAGGTTGAGAATGCAATGCATGCCCGTAAGCACGAAAGGAACAATACAAGCAGCGGGCGGCCCTCCATGTTCTTTTGTGCTTCGATTGACGGTCCGTCTGATTGCACCAACTTTCCATGAAGACGTGCATGCCGAGCGGCAGTGTTTTCCCTTTCGGCTCGTCTGTCCCCGATCACAAGTCCACACTTTCCTAAACAATGCTCTCGCCGTGTGAGCAGTCATTTACGACTTTGTCACGAGGGGTTATATGTATCGCGCATGCACTTTTATGTCTTCTCTCACCGACCAGAACTGGGATGGATCAGAATGCATTGTTCGTGGCTTTGCACCGAATGCGGATGTGCGCCACACCGGTAAGGTGCCGCACTGAGCCCCTGCGACTACTAGGCCTCGAGACTACCCAAGAGACGCCTGCGGTCTCCTTGGTGCTTGCCCACGCGGTGCTTGTTAGTGAGTTGGACGACTCGCTGCGTTGAACATTCTACGCTCCTCTTTGTGATGAGATGGATTGAAACAACGCCGGATCGCAGCGCAGTGAGGAATGGCTGGCTCTCCTTGGCCATCAGTTTCGTCCAGTTCCAGAACATCGGACAATTTGCTGGGCAAAACGTCTGATCATTCGCTGGGTAGACATCACCCTGCATTGGTCGCATCGTCGTGATGGATGACCTGCTGGACCTTGACTGGTCCAAGCCTGCCGAAAGTAACAAGGGCATCGGTACGAAGCCTACCGCTTCGGCCGGTAGCGTAGGCCCGCCAGCATGCACAGTTGGCAGCTCGACATATAACTTTGATGCCCTCACGCGCGCCCTTCCCTCGGGCTCCGGAGGCAGCACCCCGGCACGAAATGGCAGCCCTGCACTCACCGCGGCTGGACACTCCAGCCCCTCGCAGCTGACTTCGACCAAGGGGGCTGCGAGTGGTGGCCAAGATGCTTTTGCGTCCCTTTTTAGGTCGTCGACAGGCGGGGTTGCCAAGCCGAACCCAGCAGCACAAAACAAGCTCACGCTGGCGGAGAGGCAAAAGAGTGCAACAAGTGCTTTCGGCAGTGGAGCATCGACATCTGCTCAGACTAAAGACACTGGCCTCAACTGGGGAGCTGCAGACGATTGGGACTTTCTGGGTGAAAAATCTGCTTCCAAAGCAAACAGTTGTATTCAGAGGCGAGTACAGACTCTATTTGCCTTACGTCCGTGCGGTCATCTTACTTTAGTGCGGGTCCTTTGCACCTCAGGCCGACAGCAGCGCCAGTGCCCCAACCCCCGGCCAACAAGCCAGCTACTATTCCGTCTGTCACCCGCGAATTGACCCACGACCCCTTTGACTTTTCCGCGTTCGAGGATTCTGGCACTTCGCAATCATCAGCGATCGGTGGCCGACCTGGTGTCGATGCCGACCCCTTCTCTCCTACTGCCTTCCGAAATACGCAGACCACCAAAGATGCTGAAGGCGATGTGGATGATATCCTCGGAGCACTTGCACAGCCTGCCAGTCAGGCAGCAAAGCCTGTACCTCAACCCGCGCTAGCTGGTAACGGAGCTCGCAAGGGCGCCACCAGCAACTCCCCAAACGGGAGCCGTCCTACCTCACCTCCACCGCATCTAATCGGAAAATTAGTAGAACTAGGCTTTGCCCCGTCCGAAGCACGGGCAGCACTTGCAAGCACCGAGTCTGGCACAGATGTTCAAGCTGCTGCGGAAGTGCTACTCAGCAGAAGGTCGGCGTCTACTCCCAGCACGCGTCCCGGGCGGCGCAATGGCACAGCAAGGGGCGGCTCGCACGGAAGAAGTAGTGGGGACGATGAGGGGGATCGCGAGCTTGCTGAGCGGCTGCAGCGCGAAGAACGTCAGTGTGCACGTGCCAGTGATCGGGAGCCTGCGGCGAAATCGGATGGCCTGCGAACCATGAAAGACGAGTTTGCAGCATGGCAGCAGCGTGAAGCTACACGTAACAATGGCACTGCTAGTCGCTCCGAGCGCTTCGCTGACGATTCTGACTCGGCCATACCGCCAGACTGGGCCAAGTCCGCCGATCAGATCTATGCCCAAGCATCGGAGATCGGCACGGCCGTCTTCAGCCGTGCAAATGCTTTTTGGAACACGGCTAAGGCGTCGGCTGCCAAGGTGCTCGAGGAACGGCGCATAGCAACATCGGCCGGCGGATCAGCAGACCAGAGCGAGCGAGATTCGGGCCGTTCTACGCCTGTTTCCGGTGACTTTGGCGTGGCCGGTGGCACTGCGGCACGAGCGCTGCAGAAACGATTGGCTGGAAAAGATGCTCCGCCGCCTCGAATGGACGGCCGGCCGCGATGGATGGTTGATGCTGCCGCTACTGACAGTGCAGATGATAACGAAATGATGAACACCCCTTCAGTTGCAGGACAGCAACATTCAAGTAGTCACCCGGCAGCTTCGGAGTCGTTCAAAGATTCGGACGACGATGACGATGCGCCGAAGCCTACCTTTGTTCCACCTAGGCCAAGGCCGGAAAAATCAAGGCCTGCACCAGCGGCGAACTCGGAGAGAAAGGCGCCAGCTTCAAGTTCGGAACGGCTGGCTGCCCAGGAGGAGCCTGCTGTCTACATCTCTCCAACTCGACGCGGCAAAGCACGAGAGCTAGCGCAGAACGGTCCAACTGCCGCTCTATCGGCAGCTGCAGCCTCGAGGCCAGTTGGGCCGCCTGTCCACCAACGCACACGAGTCACCATTTCTGACCCGCCGGACATCATTTCGCGTTTCCTGGCACTGAAGCAAGCCGGAAATGCCCATTTCCAGAAAGGCGCATACGGCGATGCTGAAACGTCATACACCAAGTGCCTCGAAGCGTTGCCTGATTCGAGTCTGCGGCGCATACCGGCGTTGAACAACCGCGCTAGCACACGTCTCAAGAATGGCGACTCGGCAGCCGCAATGCGTGACTGCGAGAATGTCATGAAATTAATCAACCCAACGTCTGGCTCGAACAGCTCCGATATCGCACCTTATCGCCCCAAAGAGGAAGCGCCACTGCCACCTGAGCTTGCTGCAGAGGTGAATCTGCGTGACGCATGGGCGAAGGCATTGCTACGCCACGCCCAAGGTGCCGAAGCCTTAGAGCGCTGGACGACAGCGCGCAAAAGCTGGAACTTGCTCCTTGTCTTCGAGAAGGAAGAGGGCAGCGGCAAGAATGGCGTGACGAATATGCGCACCGCTCAGGAAGGACTGAGAAGATGCATGAAGATGATCTCGGGCGGCAAGGACAAAAGCGCAGCTCCAATTGCAAAGCCTTCCCGAGCTGCTGCTGCTGCTGCTGCTAAAGCGCAGAAAGCTGCGGTATCCAAGCTTGCCGCTCAGAACGCAGCCAAGGAAGCTGAAGATGCGCAGAAGCTGTCGCTTAAGGACACTGTCGATGCCAAGGTCGCCACGTGGAAAGGCGGAAAGGAGACGAATGTCCGTGCGCTCGTGTCGAGTGTCGATACTGTCCTTTGGCCTGAGCTTAACTGGAAGAAGATCGGCATGCACGAACTCGTCACGGACGCGCAGGTTAAAAAGAATTACACCAAGGCGATCGCGAGACTGCATCCTGATAAAGTGAGTGCTCCGTTTTGAACCTCATCTGTGATGTCGCTAATCGATATCTGTGTGGTGTCTCTGTTGCCAGCTCAATGTCAACAACACAACTCTTGAGCAGCGTATGACTGCTGCGGCCGTATTTAGCGTATTGAACGACGCGTACGCATCATCGCAAAAGTGATTGTCTGCCCTCGTCAATGAGCTCGAACATACAATGCATGTAGTAGACGTCTGGAAGCGTTCGTTTCATCCACTCTTTTCGTCTCCCATGTTCCTTACGAGGCTAGTCATGATCGCTTCGGAGATAACGTCATTCGTGGTTCGGACAGTGATTCGGCACAGCTTTACAGTCGAGAGACTAGGTCAGCACGTGCGTTCTGACCATATGTGTACCTATGTGCCCGTGACTCACCTTGGCAGTTTTGTTCGGCTCGACGCGGAGCAGGCAGCCAACCTTGCCAGCATGGGCCATGTGTAGCACTCCCGCAGCGACGATATTGACTGGATTTGGATCGATCCCTTCGAGTATCTTGAAGCGCGCTCCACTGACGACTTTGCGATTTCTGTCGATATCAACGTCTCCACTGCTTGTGAGCTTGAATCCGAACACCTTTTGTGATTCACGCGGCGGGCCGCCAATTTGTCGCCAGCGCTCAAAGAAATCGGCTTGGCCCAGCTGCACCGGCTCGATGAACTTGGTCAGCACGACCGGTAAGCGCAGCGTGATCTCCTGCAAGGAGCCTGCTAGGTACGAGACGCGCATCACAGGCGGGTCCTTGAAGAAGTCTATGCACTCTAGCTCGACGACCTGCTGGATTTGTGACATCCCAACGACAGTATTCGATGGAATTGTGGGCATCGTGGCCGACAACGCTTCCGGCTCTTGCGATCGGACGGTGACGGTGAATGAGGTAAATGGCGCGGCGATCTTGTTGCCAAAGTAGACTGCGAGCCTGCCGAGGCTGTCGTGATACTCGGCCTTGACACCGATTTGAAGCTGTGAATCTTCGTAGAGAACACCGTTGTGCGCAAAGCAGAGCCGGCGGAAATGGCGGTCGAATCCGGGAGTAAAATTAATTTTGGGAGCGTCAGGTCCCCCGTTGATCCCCACTGTTAGTCCTGTCTGTTGCAGTGCAATCGGACTCGTTGGTGACCGTGACGGCGCATCAAACTCGTGGTTGATCAGAGGCTGTTGAGCGCTACCTGCTCCATCAGCCGCCTCTGCCGAGGCCGCCTCACCGGAGCCATTAATACTCATATCCAGTCCCTCCAAGCCTGCGAGAATGTCGTCTCTGTCGGCACCTCCGTGGGTACCATTCTCGTATGTGCCAGCAGTGACACATCCATCTGAATGCCCATTGGACTGGATGAGCGTAGCTTTTGGATCGTACGCAGGCATTGCTCCGCCATTCGCTGCCCCGCGTGCCGCACTCTGCTGCCGCACCTGCTGCCGATCACGGTTGGAGTCCTTGCCCCCGATGACCCAGGTTCGCTTGTCCTCAGTGTTTCCATGCTTGCTGTGCAGGCGATTGAGAAGCAGAGCTGGGACACACGAAGAGAAATTGGAAAGCACGTGTCAATCATCGAATCGCTTACGCCAATACCGTTCGAAGGTCGCGATGAGGCACTTACAAGCCTTCTCCGAGAAAGGTGGCATCTCGTCGCAGACGATCTGCAGCAGCTCATCGTCTGGCCGTTCCGCCAGCGCAACGTATTCGCACGCTCGCTGCTGCAGCTCGGCATCGAGTACGTGTCGATATCTTTTAAGGACGTAAAGGACCTGTTCTCGAATCTCGGGGAAGAGGTTGAGCCACTTGACGTACGTCGACAGCAGCAGTGCGCGCGTCGGCCGTGTGCAGAGGTGCGAGCGTGAATGCAGAGCATGGAACTGCTCAATCGGACTTGCGCCTTCATTGTTCGCTATAAGGTGCCCGAACTCGCCGAGAATGTAGCCTGCAAATTCTGGGCGTCAGCTCAGAGACCCCCGAAAAGCTGGGATTCGATGAGCATCGCAAGCACTCACCCCCGACCTTGATCATGTTTTCGTGGCACGCCGGAGACTTGAGGTGCTCGAGACATTTGGTGGCCGCGTACTCCTGCACATCCTCATTGTTCGTGACAATCTGGATCACTCGGAACCAGACCTCTTCTCCAACGTGATCGCCCGCCGAGCTGATCAGCTGTAGAACCGTGTCGATATACCATGCATACTCTGTCGCGAACTTCTCCGTCAGGATAGCAATCTTGAGCACCAGCTCTTCCCGCATTGCGTAGTCCGCGACGGAAAGGTAGCGCAGCATCTCCGTGACGATGACTTTGGCGTTCGTGACGTCACACATGCTGTACAGCAAGTCCAGACCTCTCCGCCGCACGCTAATGTCCCGGTCCTTGAGCGATTGGATGATGGTTGACTGATGCATCTTGATTGGCTCGAGCGACTCCGCGCAGGCAGCGAGATGCGCCATGGTGTCGAGACCAAGGTAGCGGATGTTGGTCTCTCGGGAGAGGATGAAGCGACCCAGCAGAACCGCTGCTCGAGAGACCACCGTGGATTCTGTGTCGATGTGAATGGCGAGATTAATGGCTTCGAACAGCACGGCTTTTTGTGCATTGTTGTGTTGGACGTTCTTGGCCGACTCTGTAGATGCGGCAATGATGGCCTCGAGAACTTCGTTGATCGTCTTCCGGATGGTCGGATCATCCGACGGTGGGTAGTATTGCAGCAGCCGCAGGCACTTGATTTGAAGCCACGGTACCGGAACGCGGTAGTAGACGTACTCGTTCGAGTAATCCTCCTCAAGCACGGTCCTTGCTAACCGGTCCACGGCCTTCTGGTATGCGATGCTGTACGCATCCGTGTGCTCTTGTGCAAGAGTCACTACCAGGCTCGTAACGGCCAATGCAACGCCCAGATTCTCCTCGTCCATGAGCGAGACGATGCGCGACGCCCACTCCTCCGCTGGGAAGATGTCCACGTGCTTGCGGTACAGGCGCAAGAGCGTCAACGCCGCTTTCTTCTTGACAAAGCTGCAAGATGTAGGCGAAATAAGCAGTCTGTGCACATCCGCAACCAGCGCCTCGGCCATCTCCTTGCCTCCTATGTTCGCGATGGCATGGAGCGCAAGACAGTTGTTGATTTCGTTCTTGTCGTCCAAATCCTTGCGGATCGAGTTGACCACCAGCCGTACGAGGTCTGAATTCTCATGCATGAGCAGTGTGATCGCTAGGTAGCCCTGTAGACCGGCCGTGCTTGCAATCAGTCCTAATAACACAGCCGATCACCACCGGCGCAGCAGCTCACGATTTGCTTTTCTGAGTACTTTGGACTCGCGATGAGGTTGATCGCCTCCATGTGCCCCACATCGACTGGGTAGCCGAGGATGTAGGTGAAAATAATCTTGGCCAGATATTTCTTCTTGTCATATCCGTCCAGATTACCGTCTGCAAAGCGAATGCGCCGGTCGAAACAAAAACCAACACGATTGAGCGAGACGAGGACGGCGCGGGTAGCATCGCGATCGTCCTCTCACCCTTGAACTTTTGCCGGATTTTGGCCATCTCGAAGTTGATGCGCTTCTCTTCATTTTCACGTACCCGGGCTTGACGCAGATCCGCAATGTACTGTAAAGTGCAAGGGGTGTCACGGGTAGTCAGCCTTCTGAACAGGGTGCCCCGTCTAGCAGTCACGTTAATGCGCGGCCGCTACGAACCTGTGTCAACCCCTTCATCGACGAGGTCACATTGCTCGACATCTTGAGTGGTGCAGAATGGCCGGTAGCGACACTCTGCCCTTCGGATGTTCTCGAAGCACGCCGTTGTGATGAACACGGTCTGCTCTCCCCGAAGCGCGATGGTATAGGTCAGTAGTATTGGACATCAACCCTTGGAGACACGTTGAGTCAAGGCGCATGGACTGCTGCTTGCTGCACGGTACACTGGCGATGGAAGGCACAAGGGGAGGCTGGCGGAACCATACGTTAGGTCTGGTGACGCGCTCTCTCAGCTGCGGTGGGCAGCAGTGCTGCCATCGGCTCGCGGAGTGCACGGAGATTTCAACACCTGCACTATGATCATCTGCATCAACATATCGTACTGTGATCCGGATGGATCATGGAAGGCCATGTATGCTGTGTGCATCGGAATGGCACGTCTCCCGTTTTGGAGCAGCATCTGGGCCCATGGTCTGTGTAAGGTCGAGGTGGCAGCTAAATGCGTGTCGTAGAACTAGAGGGCACTAGTGCGTCTTTATGTGCACACAAGCCTATCTCCCTCGCTGGCGATACAGATAGCATCGTCTAGCTAGTCTAGATTTAGCAGGTCTCGCAAGGAGCTACTCTCATAGGAAGGCCCAATCGCAGGGCAAGCGTACAGCAGCTGGGAGAAAGGCAGACCTGTATCAAGCAATGATGATATCGAGAACGGATTGTACTGTATTCTGATCAAAGGGTTTACGAGACATGGAGGTTGGGGGAGACACGAGACGAGAGAAATGAGAGAAGAGAAAGGAGGACAAAGCTCGCGGGTGGGCTACAAGCGATTGTCACCTGCCTCCAGTGCATGCGTAGGTGAGAGACTTGCGCGCGAATTGACGTGATGGGAAAAATGACCCGAGGGCTGCTTGACTGCGCGTGGGGACAGCGAAAACCCGTAGAGATGACTTGGCGGCTTTTCTTGAACCTTTCTAGGACAGCGCGGAAACCGAAAGAAGACCAATTCGTTCATGAAAATCGTTCAAATGTTTCCCCAAGCACTCTTATTGGCCCGACCCCTCGTGTATCTTTAACGAGCAGAGAACCTCCTTAGACCGACGACGATGCAGACAACCCTAAGACCGTGGACGAAGCGCCTCCTTTCCTCCTTCTTCACTGTGCTTAGTTGTTTCCAATTCGAACACCGATCCTCTAGGCGGCCTCCTCGCCTTTGGCAGCCTCAGCAGGGGCCGGCTGCTCGCCAGCGGCTGGCTCAGCCTTCGCCTCCGAATCTTGCATGTCGCTCGTCCACAGGGTCAAGTTGTCACGGAGCAGTTGCATGATCAGAGTCGAGTCCTTGTAGCTCTCTTCAGAGAGCGTGTCGAGCTCGGCGATGGCGTCGTCGAATGCCTGCTTGGCGAGGTGGCAAGCACGATCAGGGCTGTTGAGAATCTGTAGAGCAGCATCAGTTCAAGTTCATCATCAGCCTGCATCCAACGTAACGAGCGAAGCAAGCATGCTCACCTCGTAGTAGAACACGGAGAAGTTGAGGGCAAGGCCGAGACGAATCGGGTGAGTCGGTGGCAACTCGGTGACCGCGACGTCCGAAGCAGCCTTGTATGCCTCCAGCGACTTGTCTGCAGAGTCCTTCCGCTTGTCGCCCGTGGCGAATTCAGCGAGGTAGCGGTGGTAGTCACCCTTCCTATATGCGCAAAAAGGTTGTGCGTCAGTCAACGAGCGTGGCTGCCTCGAGCAAAAGTGAACACTCAGACGTACATCTTGTGGTAGAAGACCTTGCTCTCTCCCGAAGCTGCGGAAGGAATGAGGTGCTTGTCGAGAACGTCGAGAATGTCCTCGCAAATCTTGGCGAGCTCGGCCTCGATCTTCTCACCTGTGGCGGGAGAGATGCCGATCGAACAGATTAGTCTCCTATCAATCCTGGCACGAGCCAAGTGGTCGTGTACTCACGGTACTTCTTGATCATCGCAACCTGTGCCTCGTTGCCCTTGCTCTCCTCCTTCTGCTCGATGGAGGAGACAATGCGCCAGGATGCACGGCGAGCACCGATGACATTCTTGTATGCGACCGAGAGCAGGTTCCTCTCCTCAACAGTGAGCTCCTGGTCCGATGAAGCAACGCGCTTCATGTTCTCAACCATCTCTGCGTTCATGCCAGCAGACGAAGCGAAGCACCAGTGGATGTGTCAGTCGACATGCATTGTAAGCTCCGCAAGGGAGCGAGATGGTGGATGTGTGGATGCATTTCGCGCGGACATTGGTACGGAATGACTCACCCTCGTATCGCTCAGCCTGCTCAGCGAGCTTGGCGAGGTAGACGGAGTCCTCACGAGTTTCAGGCATGATGAATGAGTGTGGTACGTTTGTACTGGGTAAAGTAATATGCGCAGGAGTGTCAGCAAACCTTGATCAAGGTTGTGCGCGTGCGTAGTCGTGTATTAGTAACGGTGGGACGACAACATCCGCGCGCATAACAACACGCATTCTCGCGACATCCTGTCGCAGGATACCCCATCATCCCGCAGGCAACACCGCTCAGAGAGCCTGACACCATCCCCTCAGCCTGCTGTTGACGCCAGCAAGAGTGTCGTAACCGATTGCGTGTACTGGAGCCAAAGTTCGATATCTCCAAGCGTGACTTGCGCGTCGTGACGAGCTCCCGCGACGAAACAGCAACCTTCCCTCGCGCGGTATCGGCCCGCCTCCGCGCCCAGTTTCACAACTGACAGGCCCTGATGTCCCTGTGCGTGCAGTAGTACTCACCTTTAACGGCAGACAGATGGGGCGACTCGGGGCGATGTCTGGTGTTATACGACGCGAAGTAGAAGTGCAGCTATAGGGTAGAAGGTGGAAGGGAGGTTGAGAAGGAGTGGGCAGGGGAGAGGGAGAGGGCGAGGCAGGGGGCGCGGGAAAGGGGGCGAGGTTGGGATTGGGTGGGTGTGCGGTGTGGCCTGTGACCGGGGCCCAGCTTACAGAATACACCTATAGATACATTGCTGCCTGCACTCTGCGGCGCACCGCACACGCAAGAGGGGGGGTGATGTTGGCTGGTGCGCTGGCCACAGTCTCACAACCCAAGAGTCTCTCTTGTGTGCGCTGGCTTGCTCTCGGGTGGGCTGCCAGCTGGACAGTGAAGTGGACACTGGTTCCGCGCCACTAAGCCCCGCTAACCTTGTGAACAGCCTGGGCTTCACCCAGCACTGGAGCGGTCTCCTCTCTTCGTGAGACGCGCGCTTGTCACCATCATCAGCCGCTGCCCACAGCGTGAAGATATGCCGCACCGCGCACAGGGCACACAACACCGTATGTAATGATTCACACAGCCTCCAGCAGAGTCAACAGTGATTGAGGGAGTACATGAAGCAACCCTAAAAGGCCTTCAAACTCGGCGCTGGGAGCCCGAGTTCCGCTGGCAATCACACTTTACGGCAGCGGGGGCGACACCAGCGGGAAAAAAGGACCCAGAACCCGCCCCCCCCAAGCATTTTTGAGATGACTTGGTATACGGCATTTACATAGCCAAACAGGGTATGGTTTGCATGATCTTCCAAAATTGCAGCTACCTTTGCTTTAAATTGACTTGACTTAGCCAAGCAGGCGAGGTGAAGGCAAAGGGTGAAGCAGACGGAAGTCGAAGTAGTCAGGTTGCAGACTAGTTGGGAGAAGAGAAGACGACAAAAGCGTGAGCGGCGTTTTGAAATGCTGCGTCGTGCGACATCGGTCATGCTAATTCTTGACGACTCTGACTTGACCTCTGCATCTAGAAGATGGCTTCCAGGCGTCGCGGATGCTACGTGTGAGCGTCTCGGCTGCGTAGCGGATATAAGCAATGGGTTTTCTGACGCAGCAACCCTCCTCGAATGACTTGCAGGTGCGGCAAAGGTACGCCAAGGACTAGCTCACAGTCGACAGTTTGGCGGCCCTACATATTCTGTTGCTAAACAATATGTGCTCTTCGCTTTCAGTTGGTCACTTGGCGGAGGCATGCACCTCTCAGGAGAGGCTTTGCTTCAACTGCAGCGAGGTCGGTCACGAGTCCTCGGCTTGCGAGGCACCGAGGACAACCGAGTCAAAGGAGTGCTACGGCTGCGGTGTGCGTGTGCAGACTTTTTAAAAGTCCCGTTAGGCATAGGTAGCAGATTCCCGCTCGGAAGTGCTGACGTTTTAAGCATCGGTTTGTTGTATGCGCTCAGGGCAAGGGACACATTAAGAGCGAGTGTCCAACTGCCACTGCTCGCCCTCCCCGCCCCGTTGTTGCTCCCAACGCTTGCTACGTGAGTGCAGCCCTGCCTGATCCTGACACCGAGAGCATTGCAGGAGCGCTCACAAGTCGGGCTCTTGCGTCCTTTTAGAACTGCGGAGGCGTCGGACACGTTGCTCGCAACTGCAACAGTGCTCGTGGCGCAATCGCCGCTGTTCGCTGCCACAAGTGCCAAGGCTTTAACCAGTGAGTCGACGTCCGTTTCAGAGCACCAACATGGTCGTTCATTCAGGCGATTGACTCCACATTCCTCTTCATACAGCTTTGCAAGGGACTGCAAGGCACCGGTCGTTGCTGCTCCTCGCGTACCACGCGCAGCTCAGCCGAAGAAGTGCTTTTCGTGTCAAGTGGTTGGCCACATCGCCCGTGACTGTCCTCAGGCTGAGCCTGCCGCTACAGCTGACACCGCGCTCGTCGCTTGATGTACTGTCTCCGCTCGATGTACCTTCGTCGCTTGATCTATTTTTCCTTGACTGTAGTCGTTTTACGAACCACAGCCGAAAGCTGAGCGAACGCCCCTCTCTCTGTCTCTGCAGCCTTCGGGGTCCCTCAATGGCGCCGGGAAGAGGGGATTCTGAAATTCTGCACAGAACCCCACTGCCGTACCATTTTTGTAGCTTGTCAGGCGACCGTACATATGCTGTTTATACATGCATGAAGCATGCCGCTCAATAGTGTTGAGTATCCGTGTGCCAGTCTCGTGGAGAGCACGGCGGAATGATGTGTAGACAGCGGACTGCACCGCCAATTTGTGGTGCCAAGACTGACGCAGTGTAGCACAATCTGAACTCCATCCGCCCTCTCCTTCGATCACCTCTTGCGTTGATGCGTATGCAAGCTCTAACTCGCAGAAGCAGAACGGACGACAGAGTCAAGACGGCAGCCGTGTAACGCTCTCCTCGCCTTACGCCGCCACCGGCCCCCGTAATGATGTATCCCTCTCGCGGACTCCTGGTCCGGTGCGCGACAATGCTGGCTCTCACTACGGCGCAGCTTGCCCGTGCCGCATCCCTCTTCTCCTCGCGGCCGGTCCCGGTCGTGCTGTGGCACGGCCTGGGAGACAGCGCATACTCAGAGGGCATGCAATCGCTGGCTGACAGCTTGCGAGAGGCGTTCCCCGGGCTCTTTGTCCATCTCGTCGCGTTGGAGGACAGGGCCAGAGCAGATCAAAAAGCAGGCGTGTTTGGCAACGTCAACGATCAAGTTCAGCAAGTGTGCGAGCAGCTCGCGAGCATCAAGGAGCTGAAAGATGGATTCGATGGCATCGGCTTTTCCCAAGGAGGTGAGCGATTCAAGCGGACGGGCACAACTCACCGGAAAGGGACATGCTTACCTACTCGTCCGGCTCATAGGGCAATTTTTGCGCGCATATGTGGAGAGGTGCAATAAACCTGCGATGCGCAACCTGGTGACTTTCGGCAGTCAGCACATGGGAATTGCCGACCTTCCAGCGTGCTCTCCAGCAGACATCTTCTGCCGTCTCGCGGAGGGCCTGCTCAGAGGCGGCATCTACACGGGTATATATCGAAACCAACCAAAGATCCAGGCGGAACTCATCAGCTGAACCACAACCTCTGTCCGCAGACTACGCGCAGAACAACGTCGTCAGCGCGCAGTATTACCGCAATCCGAAAGATCCGAGAGCTTTCCAGAACTACCAAGAAAAGAATCACTTCCTCGCAGACATTGTACGTTCTCCTAGCCGAATGCTGCACTTGCTTGTGCTGATCAGTCGTCGCTTTGTTGCACGAAGAATAATGAATTGCAGGTCAACCAAACCTACATCAAAAACCTCAAGTCACTCGACAATTTTGTCATGCTGATGTTCGACAAGGACATCACGGTCGGTGAGTTGCACAGAGGTAGGGCAACAGTTTTCCGACATCCGCGCTCAACATGCTGCTCCTCTTTGCAGAGCCCAAGAGATCGAGCTGGTTCAGCTCTTACCCCGTTGCAAACGGCATGAATGACTCGGCACATAAAGATCCACGGAATCAACCATTGCCCTTACGACAGAGCCCGATCTACCTCGAAGACAGACTGGGGCTGAAGAAGATGGACAAGCGTGGAGCGCTCGTTTTTGAAAGTGAGTCCATTCGCTCGTGTGCTAAGTTCCCTCTCACTGAAACGCAAATTTTCTTCTTCCTCGCAGCCTGTCACGGGCCTCACATGCGTATCGACTCGGCATGTCAGCTCAAAGTCTTTGGAAAGTGGATCGGCACACCAGCATCTGTGCTTCCGCGTCCTGTGCGACATGCTTGGGCTTACGTCAACTGGAACCTCCTCGGTGTGCAGGTTGGCTCCCTTCCTGCGGTCATCCAACTCACCCTCTTCTCCTGGCTTTTGCTCAGCATGCTGGTGCTCTCACGACTTGCTGCGGTTGCAGTCTTGAAGGTTGGCCGCACTTTGCATGTGCCGAGAAGAGGTAAGATTGCCCTGTCGTAGCTCCATGATCCTCACAGGTTCACGTGTATTGCCCTGTTTCCCCTGTATCATAATTTGTCAGGTATGCTCAGACACATTTTACTGCGGTACAATTACAAGAGAAGGACCCAAGGGCCTCAGCCTATATTGCCTCCTCGCCAATCTCTTTTAGATATAGCACATTGTTACACCTGTGTAAGTTGGAGTCGATTAGACGCATTCGAGCATAGTGTCATTTCGCAATCCAGTAATACCGTGACTTACCGAATGAAGACCTCTCCAAGCATCCCATTTGACTTGCCATCCTGAAACTCTTCTGTGTTTGCCAGCTGCGAAGCGGCCATGGGCAAAAGGATCAAAGGTTGAACACAGGCGGCAGCGCCTGATGCATCATACGTTTGCAGCTCACCTGGAAGTTCATGTAGCTATCCGTGCTGACGAGGAACCCCTTGTACTCCATCCCCCACTTGAGCTTCACCAACACTTGTTTTCCAGTCATTGATGCCAAGAATGGCTTTGGGTTGACCGGTGTGAACTGTGCAAAGAGGCACTGGTGTTAGTACGTATGCAGGCGCCCTGCTTTCATCGACGGCCCGGTATCCGTCCGTGGAAGCACTCACGCTTGACATCCTGCCTACAAAAGCCTAGCTGGTACGCGGGAGGTCTACCGATCCGTATGCTGCAAGCGAGAGTCGAGCGTCAAGAAACAAAGCAACCGCCGTGCACGATGCGATGGTTTAAGAAAGACGGGTATTAAGAGAAGAGCGAGCAACATGTCTGCAAAAAGCATTCGTGGCTCCATGGGAGAAGTTCCGCCGCCAAAATCCCTCACGAGACCTCTCGGGCCTTACCTCGCGACTGTTTGGTCATCATAGAGCAAAGATGCTCTTTCGGGTTCTTACAACATGATCATGCCGAATGCTCAGCTCACCCGCACAACATGCCATGTCCTGCAAAAATGAGGGCGGAGACGCCTCCGATTCATCTCTGTGGGGAGGCTCGAGCTCGGATGGCGATAGCGGCAGCGGCAGCGACGGCGACGCGCTGCAGCCCGCAATCCAAGCACTCCCTTTTAACATTTCAGGGCTCTTCTTCTTTCGGAACCTGATCGACCAGCCTCTCCAGGACGATATTGTCGCTGAAATCGCATCGCAAAAATACTTTGATAGAGAGCGCGACCAGGTGATGCTCTTCGAGAGCGCGGTATCTGATACCTCCAACAGGTGTTTGCCGACATGGACAAACTCGCTTATCTCGAAGCTTGCTGCTCTTTTGCAAGACCAAGTACCACCGAGCGTTCACGAGCTCCTCTTCTCATCTCAAGCGCGCGCTGGTTGTGATGTAGACCGTCAACTAAGGCAGCTTATCGTCAATATGTACCGTCCGGGCCAAGGCATCGCCGACCATGTCGATCTTTTGACACGCTTTGGCGACGGCGTGATGATCTGCTCCTTTCTGTCCGGCATCGCGATGGAGCTCAAGCAGCTATCGAACAACCAGCATGTATCGCTATGGTTACCAGCCGGGTCCGTCCTAATCCTCACTGGCGATGCGAGGTACACATGGACACACGGAATCGAGGCGCGAATGGTCGATCACGTGCAATTGACTTCCTCTAGAAGTCGCCAGACCTTCCGTATTGCCAGGCAACACCGTCTCTCGGTGACCATCAGGTGGATGCTCAAGGTGGCAGATGTGCTCTCAGACACGACGCAATCGCATTTGCGAGCGTAGACGCAGCCGCCATCCGAGGCAGCTGTAAAGTACATGTTCTAGAATCCTTCGCGCAACACGAGGATTTTTTTTGATGGGTCGTTCGGATGAGGAGCGGTGATGGCAATTCTCTTGAGGGACGAAGACAACAGCGCCTTACCTTCTTCATCTGTCGCTTTGGAGCGAAACGATTTGACGATTTCTGCTGTGGTGACTTTGGATTGCCGCTTGAGGAACTCGATCAGCTGCGCTTCCAGGTCGTTCCTCGGCAGTCTCTGCGACGGCGAACCGTGGCGTGAGCCGCGCGGCGACCCCACAGGGCTACTAGGGGAGGGTGATTTGACGTTAGACGTGCGGGGCTTCTTGTGCGCTCCTCCGCCGGTACCACTGCCGTGTCCGGCATCGAACTCGTCTGAGCTTTGCTCAGCACCTCCGCCGGCTCCATCCGTCTTGCGTTTGGTGCCAGTACCAGGCCCAAGCGAGCTCGGACCGGGGGAGCCTGCGCGGCTGCGTACAGCGCCGGAAGTCGAGCGATTGGGACTGGTGGCTCGTTGCGCTGCAGTCGCATGCCCGGCACCTGGAGGGGGCGAGACTTGCCTGCTTGGGTGAGCAGTCCCCCCTGGGCTCGTTGCACGAACAGCTGCTGGCGATTCCGCACGCGAGGAGCGCGACTTTGTCTCCAGCTTGGCGATCGGGGTTCCACTCCTAGACTCATGCCTCGAAGATGGCTTTGAGGGCGCTTGACTGTCCGTGACCGCTTCGCCACCCTCCTTGATGCCTTCCTTCTCCCTCCTGAGTCTCTCTTCTCTCGCCTCTTCGAGCGCCTTTTCAGGATTGGTGACAGCCAAATCCTCATCTTCCGACTCGTCACTTGCGTACGGGTTTTCTTCGTCGCTTTCATACGCTTCGTTCCCTTCGCGCTTTCCAAGAGCTTTCATGATCTTCTTCATCTGCTTTCCAGTCCCCGTCAACGTCCGATCCTCTTCTTCTTCCTCATCTGGCTCATGCTCGGCGCGGTGCATCTCGTCGCGGAGCCGCTGCTCCAGCTCGCGCGATTCTTCGTCCTCGAACGCGTCTCGGTCCAACATCTCCATACGTTCATCATCATCGGCAAATTCTTCCTGGTAGTCTAGCTCGTCTGCGGCTTCCGGCATCTCGCGTTTCTAAGTTGCAGATGAAAGGAAAGCGATCAGCAATCATTCAAGATCAAAGTAACATTGCCTGTCCGAGTATGAATACGTACCGCTCTTCGAATGCGACCTTGGCTCCTTCCTCTGGGTCCCCGGTCCCATAGGTCCCCGCGATCTACGACGCTACCACCAGATCTTCCAGCAGCCAAGCCGATGCCCATGTTCGCAGCCCAACGCATATCTTCATCATCATCGGGATCCTCCTTCTTGACCCCACTCGCCGATCTCACAGGGAGCGGCGTGGACCCGCCAGAGCCCAGAGGAGTGCCGGCGCTTGAAGCAGCTTGTGAGCGTTCCCTGGCGCGCAATAGCATGGTTGATTCTTTGGTCTTTTGCTGCTTGGCGTAGATCTCTTCTGCTTGGTCTGCCGACAAGGTGGAATACTTGGGCCGCTGTAAGAATTTGTAATTCTTTTTCACAGGAACGACTTTGAAGGCACCAGAGCCTGCATGATCGAGGATGAAAAAAACGTGGTGACTCGACTTGTTCTGCTCCCCTTCCATTCTGCCTATCCATGGCGCGTATCCTTTGCCCTGTGCCTTTCCCACAACAGAAACCCCATTCTTGCTGTCGCTGTTCACTTGTTGCTGATCCCGCGACACGTCTCGGGGTGGTGGCTTCCCGTGCTTGTCGACATATTCCAGCCAGTGTTTCAGCGAATCTTTGCCTCTCGGGTCGACTTTGCGGGCCGACTCCCATGCCTCGGACGTCTCAAAGTCCTCCAGGACCCACGGGAAGAACTCTTCCTGACGTGTCTGGCGTACAGAATCTGATGCTCGATGTACCTCTCGCACGCGCTTCTGGAATAGGTGACCCTTGCGCTTTCCCCGTGATCCAGATGCCGCGCTGCCTGAAGTTTCGTGAGAGGGCCTACGGAGCGGCATGGCGTCGTCATTTGCTGTACTATGCATCAACCTTTGTTTGTACCATCATTCCACTCACTTTGCTTCCTCCGCTTTGATAGTCGCCCTAGCATTTTCCATCTGCTGTTCGTCTTCAAAGTCGGGCCATACCAGCGCCTTTCCATCCTTCATGAAGATCCTCTTGCCCTTCTCGTTAAGGACAAAGTCGCCTGGCTTGGGCTGCGGAATTTTGGGTCGTGGGGGAAACTTGCGGTTCAGCTTGATCGGCAAGGTGAAGTGCTCCGGATTGGATGGCTCAACGGCCGAGTGGGAGGCAAACTTAAGAGAATGGTAGTTCCAGTCTCCTGGGCCGAGCGAGTAGAGAGGAATATCGCGAAAGCCAGCAACCGGCGGTGGTTGCGATGCTGCTGATTGTGCACTCGAGCTGGCAGCCTGCTCCCGCTTCACTGGCGAAGATCCGTTCACCTTCGCCGGCGCGTCTGGATCTGGTTTGACGGGCATGTTGGAGGCTCCCCTCGCCTTCGCTTGCTCTCTCTCTCTTCCTTGTCTGTGTGCTCCAAAGCTAATGTGATGATGGTGCTGATGATGGAGGTGCCCGACTCACCCACTCAGGCGATGAGCAGTGGAGCTCAGATCAGCCAACCCTACAACAACTCCAGAGTGCGAATGAACAAGTAGGATTGGACTTGCCTGGTCACGGCGCAGCGGCAGTGTGCCAGTGTCAGTGTCTTTTGGAGCTGTTGTTCTGGCGCGGTTCCTTTCTTTTTTGCTGTGGCCGAAGATCTCCGCAACGATAATGAATAGTTGGTAGCTTCGTAAGTAATGGTCCTCTTGCAGGTTGTGGTAACCTCCCCCACTTAGTCTTGATCTTCTTTGTGTGGTCTTTCGTTGCTCCTTGACCGTTTGGTATCTGGCGGCAGCAGAAACTTGGCCGCCAGTTCGACGTCGATACCGATCGTCGAGAGGTAGCGGTACCGCACCGGGGATTTCTGAGCCGCTTCGCTGCAAAGCCTCAAATCACGATGTCCTGCACCAAGTACGCCAGTACTTCTTTATTCAAGAGCGTCAGCTGGAATGGCGTCGCAAAACCAACGCAAGCCGCCGCCTCGAGGGCCTTCTCGTCGGTGCGCGCTGTACGAAACGGCCGAGCGAACTCTGGGAGAGGAGTTGCAGGCGCTTCCTCAACAAGGGCTCTGTGCATGAACGCACCTACTCCGCTTGGCTCATGCAGAAGCCTAGCCACCGAGGTCTCTCGCTCGCCTGCCTTTGCAAAACTTTCGGGCGAAGACATTGACGCACTAGCGCAGTGCCTGTCGTCGCCGGAAACCAGCTTGCTCACGACGATCAAGCCGGCGTCCTCCTCGACCAACGTCAGCCAAGTGGCGCCGGATGAGCTGGACGGGTACAACAACGATTGGATGGATAAGTACCACGGCAAGTCGCAATGCGTCATCAAGCCCAAGTCTACCAAAGAGGTCTCCAAAGTCATGAAGTACTGCTACAGCAAGAACATTGCTGTTGTCCCTCAGGGCGGCAACACTGGCCTGGTCGGCGGCGGGGTGCCCGTGTTCGACGAGGTCATCATCAACCTCAGCAAACTGAACCAAGTCCGTTCGTTTGATGCTACCGCAGGCACGCTCGTTTGCGACGCTGGCTGCTTGTTGGAATCTCTCGATAACTACGTCGCAGAAAAGGGGTACATGATGCCGCTGGACCTGGGAGCAAAGGGAAGCTGCCACATCGGTGGCAACGTGGCAACGAATGCAGGTGGGCTGCGTTTCCTGCGGTACGGCTCTCTTCATGGTAATGTTCTCGGTCTTGAAGTTGTTCTTCCAGATGGAACCGTGCTCGACGGGCTTAGCACCCTGCGCAAGGACAACACCGGTTTCGACCTGAAGCAGCTTTTCATCGGGAGTGAAGGGACCATCGGCCTCATTACCGGCGTCTCGATCATCACGCCGCGACGGCCCGAGGCGCAGAATGTTGCTGTATTTGGTCTCTCAAGCTTCGAGGATATTCAGAATACTTTTGTTAAGACCAGGCAGCACTGCGGAGAGATTCTATCGGCATTCGAGTTTATGGATCAGGATGCGTTCGATCTTGTCCAGAAGCACGCGACCCGGGGCGTGAAGGATCCATTCAGCGATCGATATCCATTCTACGTCCTCATTGAGACCAGCGGCAGTAAGAAGGACCATGACGATGAGGTGCGTGCGTCCATGAAACCTTCACGTCTGTAGAACCGTCACTAAGCATTGCTCATATCCAGAAACTCACTGGCCTGCTTGAGGAGCTTATGGAGTCCGAAACAATCGTCGACGGCGTACTGGCTCAAGATGAGTCGCAAGCACAAGGGCTGTGGGCTCTGCGTGAATCAATCCCGGAAGCAGCAGGCAAGCTTGGCAGCGTGTTTAAGTACGACCTGAGCATGCCGATCGCGAAGATGAACGAGCTAGTCGTGGAGATGCGGAATCGCTTCGAACAGCAGGGCGTCATGGGCAACGGTATCAAGACAGTCGTCGGCTACGGGCATATCGGCGATGGAAACCTGCACATCAACATCGTCGCAGACTCGTACGACCCGAAACTCGAGAGCGTTATCGAGCCGTACATCTATGAATGGACGAGCAATGTCAAGTGAGTTCCTTCGTACGAGGTGCAGCCAAATCGATCCCAAGCCATGATCAGCTGATGGAGCATATTCTCTCCCTCTCTCTTACCCTGGTGCGCAGCGGTTCCATCTCTGCTGAGCACGGGCTGGGACTGATGAAGGCCACGAAGATAGGGTACTCGAAGAGCGCGACGTCGATCGAGTACATGAAGAAGATCAAGGAGGTGTTTGACCCGAAGGGTATTCTATCGCCGTACAAGGTATGTATAGATGACTCTGCCGCCCCTGTCAAGCACAGCAGCGATGCTGATGACTCACGCATCGTGACGCTGCTTTCCAACATGTGCAGTACATTCAAGTATGAGCAGATCCATCAGGTGACAGCTAAATGTATCTTACAAGTGCAAGAGAGTTTCGCAGGTAGGTTTGCGGCGAGGCGTCCGCAAAGCCCAACACCCTCCACGCTCCCGTGTTCTGCACCATACAAGCAAGCATGGAGATGCCGCCGGTGAGCTGAGAACAGAAGCGAGATGTGACGTATGGATGGATGGATGCATACATGTAGAGTGTACTGTAGCGCGACATGTAGAGATGCATTTTGATTCTTTTTCCGACTTGCCACGCGCGCGTCCTTCGCTGCGCTCCTGGGTATACTATTGCCACTAGTGGCTGCTCATCTGCCGCACGTCCGCCAACGGCACCGCGCCGCACAGCAAATTTTTCTTTTTCTCCATTGTACGCCATCACCTCACCCAGGTCCACCTCGTTCTTCAACGCACGACCAAGCACGCACGGCTGGAGTACGTTTGCAACAAGCAGCTTGAATCCCGACGGCCCTTTTGGGAAGAGCTCTCCGTAGACTTGTGTGCTGCGCCGACGCGTGAGTACGAGCACCCGTCTGTCACGGAGGGGCGGTGATGGAGCTAGGCCTACGCGATCAACACAGCAGAAAAAAGAACTGATAATAAACATCGCATCCGCAGCAAAAGAATTGATATCCGATATCCAGCTGGCATCCAACACCGTACAGACTCCAGACCCGTTGCACACCACATACCCCGTCTTCGAAGCTCGTCCTCACCGGGGTGCAACAGCAACCACACAGTGGGGATCATCAAGTAGGAAACGCATTGGCTACTACGCATCATGTCCTACCTCATCGGCCGCACACGGTCACAAGCATCGCACCACCAGACGCAGATGCACCCAGCAGCGCACGCGGGTGCGGCATCCAGCAACCATGCCGGTGAAGTCGGAGCACAGAACGGACAAGTCAACATGCAGCTGCAGCAAGGATCAAGCGCCATGGCGCAACCACCCGCGTACGGAGGCGTCGCGTCGAATCCTCAACAGGGACTGCTCGCACCGGAAGTCGCGTTGCCCGAGCAAAAGAAGAAAGGCCGGCCCAAGGGCTCCAAAGACAAGAACCCGCTGCTTCCCACCGGAGAGAAAAAAGCACGCGGTAGGCCTAAAGGCCGCAGGGACGGACCTCGTGCATCGGACGCACCGCCTCGCGGACGGCCTCGCAGGGATGTCCCGCGCGACCTGAGCTCATCCCCCAAGAAGACGACGGTCACAGGAAAGAAGCGGGGACGCCCGCGCAAGGACCGCTCTGATAGAGCCGGCGACGGCGCAGATGGCGCTGAGGAGCAAACTGTCGATGGCCAGCTAGCAATGGGCGGCGAGTTTGCGCAACACTCGAATTTCAACAACATGACCCCGTATCTGCCTCCTGGCATGTCGTGGCCCGAGCCGAGCTTTTACAACAACAGCAGCAACAGCAACGGCGGCAGCTGGAACTCCAGCGGTGGCCAGGCCAGCGCGCAACAGCAACAGCAGCAGTACCAGCAGGCGCAAGACATGCTCACGCTCAGCAATGCCGGTCGCAACGCCCAGATGAATGATGGCCAAGGCCAGCTGTTCAGCAACATTGCAGCAGGCGCGAGCACGAGCGGCAGCCGCAGCATGCGCCAAGCCGCCGGGCCGCGGCGAGCTCAGCTGAACGCATCCGGTATCTCTGCACTCGAGGCGCGCCTGCATTTTCCACTAGACGAATTCTTCGGGCTGTCGGAGCAGGCGCTCTTGGACATTCGTGCGCGCGTGTACAAGGACAAGCAGCAACAGGCTGCAGCTGCTGCGGCAGCCAACGGTGGCGGCAGCGGTCAGCAGCATCAACAGCAACATGAGATAATGCCGCCCCCTCCAGGCCACGCTGGGCCCGGCCCGATGCCGCCCTTGTCGCTCGTCTCGAATCAGCAGCAATCAGGCCCAGGTCGCTAGCTAGCCATATGCCAGCTCAATCCCGCTTTTCGGGTACCTTGCCCCCAGTCTATGTAACAGTATATTGCGCCTAAGCGCCTGCTCGTGGACACGTTAACTGGTGAACAGATGCGTTGGCCGCGGCGGCCGGCAGCCTTCCATTTTCCACTTCCTTGCTCCCACTACAAGTCCTCCCCTGCGCTCGTGCCCACCCCTGCCCCCCTGTACCATCTGACGACGCCCTGATCGCCGGCGGCGACAAATTTACCGTCGTTGATCCATCGCAGGCACCACATGGCGCCATCCTCGGCGATCGTGCAGACGCATACTTTGGGTGATGCAGCGAGGTCCCACAGTTTGATCGTCTTGTCGGTGGAGCTATAGGGTCACCGATAGACATCAGGCGTGAGTGGCGTGGCCTGCCGAGACTGTCAGAGACGTTCCTATTTTACTTACGTAGAAGCCAAGATCCGGCCGTCCCCGCGAATGGAAGCATCGACGACCATCTTGGCGTGCCCTTGGAGCATAGCGACGACGGTACCTGACGCCTGCTGGCCTTGCTCCCTCAGGTCTCTCGCGTCATGGACGGAAAGTGTCAAGTCCTCCGAGCCAACACTGAGGTGGTCTAGCCGTCTCTCTAGATCTGAAAGACTGCTCGATCCTGAGGAACCGCGATGGCCGCTCAGCGGCGCGGCTGCTGAATTTACGCTGCCCAGCACAGGAGCAAGCGAAAAGCTCAGGCTGCGAATGGGCGCTGCGTGATTGCTGAACAAAGCAATGACTGCGCCACTCTCTACATCATGCACGATCACCTGCCCTGAGTCCGTCCCGACAGCGACCATGCTGCCGGCTGGCGTGAAGCGCACACACATGCCCCAGCCTTTGCGCGCCGATGTTGGAATAGGGTTGCGCGCGAGGCTGCGCGTTGCCGATGAGGCTGATGCATGGTCTTTAGGGTGGATGACGGCGTTTGCACGAAAGCGTCGGAGAGGCGTAAGGAAGGTAGAAAGCGGCGATTGCTCTTGTGAATCGTTCGTGCTCGCCAAGTTATCCACGGTGATCCGGTATAGAGAGAGTGAGGCAGTGTTACCCGTTGTTGCCAGGATCGGTTTGTTCGGGTGCAAATCGCTCGTATATGCATCTACAGGAGGAGACATGATATCAGTCAGTGCATCGCCACATGGCTGGCTGTATGCTACGGTTATTGCCGCGAGTGACATACCTATCGGAAATGGCGTGCGCTCGCCAGGGAACGCCATGCGTGCAACGCTAGGACAATATGCTAAGCAAGAGGTCACCTCTTGCGCTTCGTCCTTTAATGCTCGGGAATTTTCACCATTTGGAGGCACCATCGATTCGGTCGCTTCGTTGCGATCGCCTTCTTGCGTTGGGGAAGAGGCTCCTCGAGCAGCAACAAGATCGTCAACTTTGGGCAATCGTGTTTGTTGGTCGTGGAACGATTGGATCTTCCAGAGAGCCAGGCTGCCATCCAGACTGTTGGTGGTCATCCAGCCTTGGGATTCGGAGACAGAAAGGGAGGTGACTGCATTTCTGTGAGGGGATTGAATGCTACCGATGGAGCGGCCCGAGTTGATGTCCCAAGCTTTGATCGCACCGTCAGCTGAGGCTGACCAGACGACTTTGGACGATGTAGCAATAGTCCAGATAGGACAGTCATGCTCTATAGACGGAAAGTTATGGCGAAATATCAGCAAGCGAGCCATTTATCAGCACCGCGATGCGTGCACCCACTGGAGGAAGAAGTGTAATCGGCAAGGAATTGAAGCGACTATGATGTTGAGAGGGGGTGTGCAGAACATGAAGTCAGCGCGTCTGTTCAGGGCGCAAACCGCCTACGCCGGGCTTTTGACCCTGGTACTCACCATATTGTCCCTATTTGCCGTTTGACAGTGTGCTCGAGCATGTCCCAGCACGCTGTATATGTCCGTCCTCCTTGAAGCCTCAAGGACGTGCAAGAGAGATGATGTGATCGGTAATGGAAGTCTTGCACTGGCGAGTCGTTGGGCGGAACTGCGCTCCCCACTGCACCGGGCAGCAGGCTGCCTCGCTGCTGTTTCTGTGCGCCAAAGCAGCGCCACAGCGACAAACAACATCTTCTGAATTGCTCATCTCCAGTGAGCAGTACGTGCTTGGCGTGATGGTTGATGCACATGGCATGGCAAAGACGGTCATCGAGCGTGAGGAGGGACAGACACAGCAGTAGCGTCGATAGGTGCAGCTGCAGAGCTCGCGTCCAGAACAAAAGTCTCTTCGCCGCAAGACGTAGACGATTGCCGCGAGGTTCGCGATGGCATCCACACACGGCACCATGGCATCGTCAGCGATGAGGTCCATGCCCGCCTCCCACAACGACGAATACTTCACCTTCACCGTCGGCAAGCTCGATGCCGGCATGGCAATCCTCATCGGCGAACGCGCTTCGCTCATCGAGTTCCCCAGCCTGCTTCTCCCGCAAGGCGTCAGCAGCGGGAGCGTCGTCAACATCAAGGTCCTGCGAAATGAGAACGAGGAGTGGAGACACAAGGAGGAGTTTGAGGAATTGCAAGAGGATATTCTCGATACTTTCGGAAAGGTCGGCCCAGCTGGTGAGTCCCTGGTCGATTCTTTGCCCATCTGCGATCGCCGCTGATCTGAGGCACCATTTGCTTCTCCTATCCATCTGATTCAGCGCCTACATTGAGATTGCGCAACGTTACGCAGACCTCGGTCACACTAGAATGGGACCGTATCTTTCTTGCTTCTGCCTCTTTGATCGGTCTCGATATCTTTCGAAACGGTCAGCGATTGGCGCCCATCCCGAATCCATTGCACAACACCAGCACCAAACTATCAGGCCTAGACGTCGATGCCGATTACTCTTTCCATCTCCTGCTGCGAACGACCGCTGGAACGCTATCATCTCTGCCCGTCAAAACACGCACACACACCGTCCAAGACACATCCGGTATCGCCGTCTGCTTTGGCCACATTGAGGATCCCGAACTGGAAGAAGCGGCTAAGGACGTGCTCAAGTTGATGGGCTGCCAAAAGTGGACGGAGAAGATCCAGATCGAAACAACGCATTTCATTTGCACTGATCCGCGAAACAAAGGAGATGGCGTCAAAGGTAGCATGGGCACTATGCACAACAAAGCGGCGCAGCTCAGCATACCCATAGTTCAGCCACATTGGCTCTTCGCCTGCTACACACAAAAGAGGTGGGTGTGCGATATGTAGTTGTAAGAGCAGTTTGCTAGATCAGAGACAGCATGCTGACCTTTCGTGATCTTTCTCCTTTTAGAATGGTTCCCATCTCCGCCTACTATCTTGGCCAAGACCCTCCAAACGCATCCACGATCCGCGAGACGGTTGCCCAGATCCGCCAACCACCGAGCTCCTCCGCATCTGACGCGACACACATGATGCCTCCGACACCCGTCACAGCGAACGGGATGGAACCGCAGACGCCCAGCCATGTTCCGCACATCGACGCGCAGACAGGAGAGACAAGGACTGGAGGCGTAAGTGTGCGGGAAGGCATGCCTGTCGGCGTCGTTACCGCCGCCGAGACGGATACAGAGCAAGGCGACATGACGTCAAATGCTTCTTCACAAGCGCAAGCTCCAGCAGCATCAGAGGACTCGGCAGCGACCCCACTGGCGACGCCGCAGTCGACCTTAAATGCGAGCGCAGAAGTTGAAGACGACTCAGCCAATACAGTGCCCCCAATGCCTTTCGAGAAGGACGCGCAGTATGCCAATATCGGCGCGGCGGCAACGTCAGCACCGACCGGATACGCCCAAGCCGCCGCACTGGTTCCACAGAATCGTGTCGTAGCGGGCATGGAAGTGCCCACGCCTGAGTACACTGCCGCAGCGCATGATCACGGCGGAGAGCAAGAGCCAGAGCAGTTGTCAGCTGCAGCAACTGTGGGTGTCGCGTCGAATGCGGCCGACAACCTAGGCGACGTCAGCCTCGTCACTACGGACGATCCCGGCTTGCCAGAAGAGGAGGAAATTGACCTCTCCTAGCGTGTAGCCTGCAAGCCGTATGTAATGTAACCACTTGAAGCTGGTTTGAAGTTATTGCTGCAGCTTTGCAGAAACGACCGCAGAAGTGACAGTGGATGAGCAAGTGCAGCAATACCCATCTCATTCGTATTGGACGAGAGATCTGCGAATAATACATCGGGGATGGCGAATCCCAATCTCCGAAAGGCAATGCGCGACTCAACCTTCGATCGGCGCCAACCGAACGCCTGCAGCTTTTTCGCTTTGGGTCCTCAGATCGTATTCTCCGTGCTGGGTGATGTACCGCACCCAAGCTGGAAGCACATAGCAAACAGAAGGAAGATATAGCTCTTGAATGAGTGAAAGTGTGACACAACAATGTAAGCGCGCAAGAAACAAACTCACGCAAAGCTTGGTAGCCCGACTTTTCGACGATCTTGAGGTATCGAACCTGGATGCCGGAGACGGTAAAGTAAGGAATTTCAAACTTGACGCTGATGGGCGTTCGCCTGTCGATATTTTCGTCTAGCGAAGGGCACAATGGAAATGGGAAGAGAGAGGAAGTCAGAGTCCAGGAAGCAGGAGAAGAAGCTGCACTGAATGCACTCATACGCACCATTTTTGACACTTGGTAGTCCGAAGTGGGCGCGCATCATGAATTCACGGCCGCCCCCAAGTTGTTTGATCTTCCAAACCATAGCAGAATTCTCAGGGGCGTAGTGCACCGAACCAGCCGCCGCCTGGACATCAAGTGCAAGCGGTCAGCTCTTGCGAAACAATAAGCATGCTCATGATCCACTCACTCTGAACTTTGGAGAGTCGGCATCATCCGGTACAGGAATGCTGATCTCGACGTTGTTCGCGGTGCTTCGCCTCTTGAATTGCGCCTTTACCTTGACCATGAATTCTATCCTGCTTCCTTCATGGCGCTCGACGACGGCTTCTGCCCAGATCAGAGGTCTGACCTGGGTGCTGAGACGATACGACATGAGCTCAAACTCTCCATCTGGTGGGATGAATGAAATCGTTCGATCATTCTCGAAGCGAGCAAGGCGCACACATTGGTGGAACCTGACATCTTCCATTTCGATCGCTTTGCCACGAGCAGCTGAAGTGCCAGAAACGAGATTGTCACGTCAGAGGTCTCGGACGTGGCGTGCTTGAACTCTTCACGGTAGACTCACTTCTTCCAGTGGTTTCAAACATGACTTTATCATTCAGCCCCAAGCGAAGCTCAGGCATGCCGCTAAGGTAGCACTTCATCTTGACGGAGCCAAGAATCTCGCTGCGTACGACGTTACCATTCGCATTAACCAGCAAGTTGACCGACTCGATGACGTCCAAAAATACTTCATTTTTGCGGTACCTGATGCCTTCCGATCGCCACGAAACTGCGTTTGTCACTGCCATGGGTGGTCGTACTTGCGCTTCTAGCTTGTGAGACTCCTGCGTGATGTACCTGGAAACGAGAGATCGTTCGTCAGAGACTCGATAAGCGCAGAGCATGTGAATGCACTCACTCTTGAAGGATTTTGGACTCTGTTGTCTGCGGGTATCCAAAGTCCATCATCTCATCGAGGAGCTCGTAGATGATGACAAAATTATCCCGGATCGACTCCTCCTCCAGCTCCTTGAAATATTCTTCCAGGACCTATTGGAAGATAGTGCATGAGCATCAGCACGGCATCTCGCCTGTCCCGAGGTTGGGCGACCATCTGAAGCCTTACCGATGCCAACTTGTGAAGGAAGATGAGAATTTCTGCGGCATTGCTGTTCCGTCTTGATAAGGCAAGCACTAAGTTCCAGAACGGAGAAGTTCAGCCTTGTGTACTTGAATCGGCTTGAGGATATCGGGCTGAAGGCGGAGCACTTCGCTGCTGGGAGTACAAGCTTCGTGCCCTCCTCCACACTCACAATAGAGGTTGTTATGCCGAATGAACATGTAATTGATTCCCTCAGACGAGAAGCACGGAGCAACTGCGCTACCTCCTGCATCCTCTTCCATGTCCAGCAAGAGCGGCAAGAAGCGCTCAACAGCAGCTGGAGCTACATCGTCTCTGTATGATCGTTGAATGAGAGACTTGCCCTTGATGTCGACAATGGCGATGAGGGACGCCATCTTGCCTGCGGATTATCGATCTGTTCGACCAACGCTCTTCTCCACTCCCCCCAACTCGCTTCTGCTGACTAGCTGTACAGACGATTAGGCGACCGGCTGGCCACAGGATGAACTCTTGCTTCAGATCGCCTTCGACACGCACGTATCGTGTTCAAGGTAAGACCTGCCTGCAGCCCTACTCTCGAAGACTTCAATGCACACTCTCTCGTCCCGGTGTTGCGCCGTGCCGCCCCGTGCGCACACTGTTCCGCTGCGCGACTGGCAATTGCAGAAGCGGCGGGCAGTGGCGCAACTCATTCACTGGCCCCGAAGCCCAAGACGACGAATGCGATTGAACTCCAGCAAAGGCTTTGAAATGATTTCGCTACAAGTCGAGGCGCAAGTCGTATCTTCTCCCCCCTGTACATGCCCTACGATATATTTATGGCACAACAGAGGCTGAGGGGCCGGTACATGACGCGGTCTATTAAAATCTGCCAGCCAAGCTCTTGGCCGCGTCTCGTGCTGAGATACGGCTGCGTCCGCTATTTAAGCTGCCTCCGTTGATGGTACTCGCACTTCCGAATCCGTTGGTACCAAAAGAATTGGATACTGCTTGTGATTGTTGCTGCTGCTGTGGATTTGGCGGCCTTTCCACGAACATGCTCCTTGCCATTCCACTCGCACTACCGCTGGGTGATGGGAACGCGAAAGGATTCGCCGCCGGCTCGCCTTCTGCTGCCGACGACGAGCCCATCGATGCAAAGGGAGACGGCGATGCGGGTTGATGCATCGATTGTGCCATCGGGGCGAAAGGTGTTGGTCTAAAGCCCGTTGGCGATGGGTCACGCGAGGGAAGACTAGGCAGCCTTGCTGCTTGGGCAGGCGGGGAAGAGATTGCGCTGACGGTGACGCCATCTATCTTGGACGGAGTAGGTGGAGGAGCAGGCTCGGAAAGGGCTGCAACGATGGTATGGGATGGAGTTATGGGAGTGATCGATGGGGCGGCGTCCTTGTTGGTGGTTGGAGCACCGGTAGGAGAGCCTGTTGCAGCAATGCTGACAGGCGCCGGTATTCCATTAGGTGGCTTGACAGCATCAGCAGGGACGTGTGGCACTGGGGTTTGAGGAACCGGTGTGTGAACAACCTGCGGCGGCGGAAGAGGTGAAACAGGAGCTTGTCGTGCGACAGGCCGTGCGATGGCCGGAGATGGCGTGCCAGTCGGTATCGGCTGCACGGGCTCTATTGGCCCTCGCTGCGGTGCCCGGCGAACTTCCGGCTTGAGACCTCGAATGACATCGAGCATGATTCTGGTCCGCCGCAAGCTGTCTCTCCCGTGTGCAACGACTGCGTCCTCCAAGTCGGCATGTGCGAACTTGGAGTGGCGGCGTAGGCTTGACTTGAGTCCCTGTGAGACGCCCTGAAGATGAATTGCCACCTCTCGCTCTCGTTCTCTTGCCCCCGCATATTCCTGCAGAGCCTCGTCCACCTTCTCCGGTCGAATCGTCGAAGAACCCCGCAGGTTCTCCGCCGCTTGCTTTCGGCTTGCAACAAGCTTGGTGACGTTGTAGTGTTCTTCGACGAGAGCATTTCTTGAAAGCATTGCTTCCTTAGCAGAGCGTGCGTTCAGGCTTTGATACGCCAACATATCTCCTAGTGTCAAGACTTCCATTCGAGACTAGTAGAGGCAGTGCAGATCAGTCATCTCGGAATATTTGCAGAGGAGCGTGGAATACTTGACTCACTTGTCCCTCTTCTAATTCCGTCACTCGTCGCAGCATCTCGCCGGTGCATCCCAGGGCATGTGGCAACCCAAGCTTTGCAGAGGGTGGTCTTATTTCTTCAATTGCCGCCAGATTCGTCATCCTGGCCGACAAGTTTGCCGTCGCTTCGAGCAGAGCTATGCATGGTCAAGCATGCAGTAAGCACTATATAGGGAGCAAAGAATAGCCAGAGCTGCCCACTCACATCTTCGCTGCATGGACAGCTTTTCGAGACCTTCAGCAGCCTGCGCAAACTGCATCTCCAAGCGCGTGACCTCCTCCCGAGCGCCAACCAGCTCATCGTCCTCGTCATGCAAGCTCCGGCTCGTCGCAAAGCCCATCGCGCCCGCGGCAGACCCTCCGCTTCCACCGATGGACGAAAAGAGGGACGATGCGATGGATTTGGCAGCTGCGGTCGCTGAAGTACTCGCAGTGCCTGCACCAGAGGGGAGGCCAAGCACGGACCCGCTGCCAACATCGACGGGCCCGTAGGCGCCACTGACGCCAGCTGAGCTCAGCGCGGCTACACCTGCATTGAAGCGCTTACGCAACGCCGGCGATGAGCTCGCGGTGTCTGGCGCGGTAGGGTGGTAGGAGTATTCCGAATCGATAAAACTGCGCAGCTCGAGTGATTGAAGCAGCATGGGATCGCTAATCGTCCGATGAATCCATCGCTGCAACTGCGAGAGAAAAATGTCTTCCTGATGCTGAATGGCTGCATTTTCCGCTTGCGTTCGAGTTGTTTGTGACACCTGCGAAGCAGAGATGAGCGAGGGAAAGGGGATTGGAAGCGCCTGCACGATGGAGCTGGGATGCTGCAACGTCATGGCCAGGCACAACAGAGCGATCTCTCGATAAGTCCGCAGTATGGAGGGATACGCATTTGATCGATAGTACGGCAGGTTCGTCTGCAGGCAAAGCGTGTGACACTGTGAGCTCCTGCACTACGTGTTCAGCAAAGTCGCAACTCACTTTAGCCTGCAACCGAAACGTCAAGTCTCTCCTGCCCTTCTCCAACGTGATGACCCTCAAATCTAGCACCGGTTGTGGCGGTTGCTGCTGTTGCGGCTGCGGCTGCTGAGAAGCCATACTATCTCCTTGAAATATCTCTCCGGATCGAATCTGAGTGCCATTTGAGCCACTCGCACTGTGTATCATGTCGGCGGGGCCTCCAGGAGGCTTGATGTACGCATGTGCCTCATTCGACCCTGAGGGACGATACGCTGCGGTGTCTGCGATCATGGCTGAAACCACTGGGCCCTCCCCGCGAACCGAGGGTTAACACGCCAGCGTGTGATTGAGGTCAGAGATGCTTAAGGGTTAATCAAGGTAATAAGTTCGGGAGGGATAATGTCCGATGAGGTCGAAGGCGGAGCTCGCGGTCATCTGCCTTTTGGTGAGCAACGCTGTCATCAAGGCGTGGAGAGAAGCGGCGCGCGTTAATTGAAGTATGCCCGCCTCCACCGTGCCTTTGACTACATAAAGCAAATTATTGCTCAAGATGTCTGTGCCACGCACGACATCTCCCATGTGCATGGTTTCGCAGACGCTGACCCCATGGTCTTCACTCCATCAATGTAAAGTACATGTACGCCTCTACAACGCCATTGTGTTCCGTGACGTTCACCCATAGCACTGGAAGGGGTTTGCAACTGATGTGTCACGCCGCTGTGGCGACATCGCTCCTTAGCACCCGTCATCTTTGAAACCTAACTTGCTCGCTGTTCGGACTTAGTACAAATGTCCACATGCTGCTCCGAAGAAAGGTAGGATGGATAGTGTTGAAGCTCGCACACAGCTGCACGTCGATTACTAGTGTGACGAGGCTCGCGACCGGCTGAGCCCGGTTTAGTTTGCTGTACGCCCTCACGAGCCGCTACCCTTCGGCCGGAGTTGCAGCTGGGGCAGCAGGTTTCTTGGTGACATGTGCGCTGATATGCTGTGAGCGTAGATGCAATACTCCCTATGTCAGGACAAAGTATAGCATCGCTCATTTTGGCATCCTCGACTTACCTTTGCCATCTCGAATGAGCTGCAGGAGAAAGCAGGTCGATATTCCAAGGGTCAGCTAAATTGATCCAATGAACGGTACTGCTGAAGCAGCACCCACTCAATATCGTCCTTTCCAAACAGTTTCTTGAGCTTGGCGTCGCAGAGGATCTGTATAAACTCGGTCAGATTGCAACTCGGTCGAAGCAGGAGTGAATTGAGAAGTGCTCACCCTTCGGCCATTTTGCGGATCTTGGAGCTGGTTTCCTTTTATGTGCTCCCATATCTTCTTGACGATCTGAGGTCGCGCAAGCTGTGAGGGTATAGCATCATATATTGGCGAAGGTCAGCGATTCCGCCTAGCGCGAGCGCACTGAAAAGCGCGGACGCACCTCTTCCACGCCGCAAACGTCGGCAAGCACCGCATCAAGGATGAGCGGCATGTTGAATGGGTTGTTCGGATTTGCCGCTCGTTTCGTCTTCTCGCCGGTCGTCTTGCGCTTTTTTGCCTTTTTCTTGGACACGCCGGCATCCTCGTCGGAGTCGATCTCATCGTTAACCTGAGCTTTGCTTCGCTTCTTCTTGGAGGATGACGCGGCGACGGCTGTGTTCGAAGCTAGGAAGAGACAAAGCAAAGGAAGGTCAGCTTTAAAGGCGCACGGAATTCAAATTGTTCGGAAATTGCAAACTCACCAGGAGCGGGTGCGTTATGCGCAGGGTACCCTTGCGGAAGCCCTCCAGGCACGCCGCCGGTACCAGGCAAAGCGATACCTCCAGCGTGTCTGCTCCTGTTCACCTCATCGTTGATCGACTCGAAGCACTCCTTGATCAGCTCGTTGATCGCCTCCTTGTCTCTGCCGTTGAGATCAGCCCCTGCTGGGATCTGGACACTGTAGATGGGGTCCTGGATCAACTTCAGGCGGACAGCCTTGGCGGATATCTTGTTCAGATCCGACTGGCGCAAGATACTGACAACAGATGGGCGTAGTGCAGTGACATCCATCCTTGCCGTCCGCTCACGTCACTCTTGCAGATACGACCGGTGCTGAAGACTTGGGACCTTTGGACGAGGCCGGATGAGCTGGGTGTACGAGACACGCGCGTCTGGCCGCCGGCAGGATATCGCAGGGCGGCACAGAGATTCGAGCCGAGGAAAGCAACGGGGACGTTACTTCGTGCGATCGGCTGCGCCTGAATCAAAGTATGTGGATGTAGGGAGTGCGCTTCGAAGGATGCAGTCAAGCACGTGGTGTATGGATGTGGCATCCATGGGACGTCGCGGCTGCTGCCTATTCTACCCCAAAGCAAGCAGGAGGATGATGTTGCTGGTGCTTGGTTCTTGGGGCTGAATTGGCATTGGCATTGGCAGACAGAACACCCGATGGCCTGGTGCCAGTCTTTGAGGGCAGCGAGAGTGTGGAGCGCACAGGCCGGTTGTCAGCAAGGAGAGGCCAGACCGCGCGTGAGTGGATAGAGTTGAGTTGGCTGTTGCATCTTCTCGGCCGAATGATGGCGATCATCAGAAGGAGAGGAAGACTATCAAGGTGCCACTGCGACCCATCCGCGTCGTGCCACGAGTGAGCGCGACGCGACTCGCGGGTCCCTTTAGCCCTAAATCCAAATGGTGTCCTCACCCTCTTTCATTCCTCTGATCAGCACTTATTAACGCTCCAAACGGCTCCAGCGGTCAGCCAAGCTCTGCCAGGCTTTGGGCTTGCGACGCAGTGATGGGCCGTAGAGCCCTCCCACCGGCAATGCCATGATCCACTCTGCAAAAACCCTGCAATATAGAGATAGGTCCGTCAGGTGTGTGCGATGAGATGTGTCTGCCATGCCGGCAGTCACAGGCGCCTATAACCCTTCCGGCTAGAAAGGCGTTGGTCAGATGTGCTCAAGATCTCATTCTGTTTTGTTCTACTGTTGCCAGTGACCTGTGACGCAAAGCAAGTGACATCGAACAGCCGCCCCCGCCTGATACGTATGCTGAATGAATCTGAAGCCTGTCCTGCACCACCAATGCCGATTAACTCGAGAGCCAAAAAGCGGCGATCGCTGCTAACGGCACCTGCATCATGTGGAAAAGGCACATTCACTTCCTGCTGTCCAGAGATTCGGAATGGTACAGAGGGCGTCATCAAGGCCACATGCGCGCCAACACATGTCCAAACAAATTGAAAATGCGTGGATTTTCCGGTGGTTCCGCTAATACTTGCTGAATGAATGCCTATGTGTTTCGAATTTCAGACCCCTGATTCTGCCGTCCTGGATGTGCGAGGGGCATCATCTTCACTGGCCTGCCGCCAAAAATCGCGCTACCTCTTTCGTTAATGTGTTTCTTTCCGCGCCCCAGGCCTCGGCACAGCACCACTGTCACTGCGCCGGGACACACCCGCACCCTTTCCAGAGGTTCGATGATGCCAACGATCAATTCCAAGCAGTGGCCCGTGGAGCGTATCAGACATCTCTCCTTCGAGGGGACGGTGATGAAAGCTTTGGGCTGTGTCGATCGATGGTCGTCGCATGAAAGAAACAAGCAGACCATATATCTGTTAGTCCTCCCATTTCAACGAGTCCAAAGGTGTGAGCCGAGCCCTCAACAGCATCATTGTGCACACACAGAGCGCGGCCAGCAGCTGTCCGCGAATGGCAGGGGCTCGAGCGCGAGGAAAAAAATACCCCTGCCACCACCACCACCGCCACCGCCAACGGCATCGCAGCCGAGACAGCGGGTGGCGTTCCATCTCGTCAAGTTCTTCATTGAGCTGTCGAGAATCAACTCTGCCTCCCTTCATCAGCTATCTGTGTTTGTTCATCAAGTGACAAATCACAGGCACGCTGACAGTGCAGGTTTCCTAGTCAGCGTAGTGGGAAGGACTTCGCCACAAACGCTCCGAGGGTCTCTTGCCGTCAACTCAGCGAATCTGAAGGGTGCTGCTGCAGGCTAGAACGGAGGCGAAACCTCGAATATTCACTCCCACCTTGGGTGAGAGCTACGGGGCGCTGGTGCAGGACCTACAAACAGCCAATCAACCCCCTTCTGGCTCTTCGAAGTCAAACAAATCGGCAACCTGCTTGTGCCGTGCAAAGTGCAGCCAGGCTCGCTCCCCCGTCCAATTGACGAGGGGGCGACATCCTCCGCTTTGACTCTTGTAACAACAGGAGTGCATCTGCATCGTGAATTTTGGGACGACCAACGCCAGAACTTTCATGTTACTCAAGCCTCAATTCTGATCTGTTCGACTCTTCCTTCATTGCCTTCCACTGCCCCTTGGCAATCGTGAGCATCGCCCCAGCCGAGATCGTCATCCCCAACGCATATATCCTGCAATTATGTCACAACCAGCAACGGCCGGCATTGTCGTAGGCTGCATCTTCATTGCTATTGGCGCTGCCTTTGTCGGCTACAAAGTGTACAAGCGACTCTGGCACATTCGGAATCGACGAAAGATCGAAGATAGCTTACCACCGATACGAGAGCCTTTCGGTGTCTACGCTGCAACAACGCTTCGTGGAGGGACACTAGGTTTACATGGCGCCCCCAGTGCAGCGGGCAGCACACTCGCCTCGCCGTATGCGACACTCAAAAAGACGAGCTACGAGGCCGTCAGCAGCGGCGACCCAAACAGCCAGGGCATCAATGATGGGTTAATTAAGCCACCATTTGAATTTACAAGGAACAACTCCATAACAACCAGCACAAGCGGCACGCCTCTGCCGTCGTCATCCAATTCACCGAAATCTCCACACTCGGCATTGGCCCCGCTCGGGAATCGCTCGATGGACGCTTCCGAGTTTGGCCACATGCACTCGCGGTCGATCAATGGCTCCACGTCCAGCACGATGGTCCTGCAACGGTCTTACACGCCAAGCCTCTACAAGAGCTCCTCCGCGCTGTCCTCGCATGCGAGCAGCCTGCCACCGCGGCGCGAGAGCTATCTTCCACACAACCCTATGAATAGGGACAGCATGATGATTGTACCGCCGCAGCCGCTCGGCTTTGGCTCAGCAAACAGTATGGCAATGGGCACGGACCAAAAGACGCTTGCTTTCAGCAAGATGAGCGGAATAGGGGGTAGAGACGACTTTGGCAGCGCATTTACGTGGGTCGGACCGGGCGCAGCCGGCGAGGAGCCTCTGGCGAATGACGCAGCGGCCGACGGCTACCATCCGCCATCGCACATGTCTGGGTTACGGCGCGGCCCGAGCTCGACGGCGGCAGCCGAGCGGGGACAACACTTGAAGAATGGTCCAAGCAGCATGCTCGGTGTCACTGGTACGGGTAGCTCCAATGGCAGTGCTGGGGTATCCAGGACCTCTTCTCCAGGCGCCCCTTCACATCGATCGATGCAGTATCAGCAGCAAGCCAGTCTACCCGGCCGGGCTGATTCGCGCAACAGTCACCGTACGTACAGCTCAGCGGGCGGCGGCGATGTGCATGCATCTGGCTTGCGCTCGTCGCAGATGCCACAATACTCGCCATCAGCCGCTATCTTCAAAGGGCTGCACCAATTCACGCCGGCGCATGGCTCGGTGACCATGTCCTCGTCCGACAGCACCGGCGCATACTCGCAGAGTTCCTTACCGCAGTCTTCAGGGGCGGATCATAGTGCAGTCGGTATGGATGACTCTCCCATCATGAGTCCCTTCCGCATGACAGGGACATCCACCGGCCCCGCTTTGGCATACACATACTCGCAACAGCAGCGAGCGCAGCGGCTGCAAGGGGGCGGTGGCAGCGGAGGAACTGCAATGGACTCGCTCAGCGCTTCGACTTCTGGGTTTGGGTGTAGCACCGACGCCGGTGGTTCGACACCTTCGACGGGGCCAACCACTCCTTACACCGAGTCCAGCGGGCGACCTAGTCGGAGCTCAGGCAGCATGCGTTCAGATGAATTCAAAGCTGTCGCCGCCACTGCAGGTCGAGGTGCAGGTAGTGATGGCTCCGCAAAAGATGGCAGCAGAGACAAGGCAGTGGCAGGGTTAGAGCAAGGTGGCGCACAGCGGGCAACGTAGCAGCACCAATCACGCTGCTACATTGCTTATGGGTCAGAGATCATCTCCAGCGCTGGACAGCGACAGCGAGCAGCTGCAGGGGCATGCGCCTAGCTTTTGGGCGGGAGGCGCTCCATCAGATCGCAAGCACCGCAAAGTCCGATCGTTATTTCTCTATCCTTGCATCGTCCATCCATCAATTTGCTCCACATGCCATTGTGTCGCGTCGAGCATCTATGCGCCTTGCCCACCGGTGCACTCCTGGTCGGTGCACCATCGCCTCGTGGTCCCCTTCTATTCGCGCCGGACATTCGTTGATCGATCGATCGCACTTGTCGCAAATGTCATTTCCATCGACATGAGCAGCGGCAGATGCGCCATCACGTGAATTTCAATGCCACTTCTCTAGCGAAAGACTCAGCTCGCGGCAGCAACACGTTTCGGTCATTTGCAAAGTCGACCCCTTTTGCAATTTGCGCGTACATACAATACCCTCCTTCCTTCACGCCGAATACAGCAACAGTGCATTACGCCATGCTTCACTCATTGTATCTTCTAGTTGTGCTCGGCATAGACGCGGCAAATTTCATGGACACTGCCTTTCCATTTCTGACAACGCTTCGTATGATTTGCCGCGTGTCGCGTGTAATTGCGGGAAGGAGGGATAGCGTCGCGAAGGGAAAGTACATTAGAAGGTAATCTTCTTGCCTTGCGGCGGCGCGGCGGCGCCGATGTTGCGACCCCGAGCAGCTTTGGAGACCTTTGGCGCGAGTACTCGCGGTGGCACTTCGGCCACTCCAGTTTCGTCCTCCTCGAGTTCGCCGCCTTTCCCGCCTTCGAGGTCATCATTGTCCTCCGCCTGCGCCTCGTCGTGCCAACGAACACGTTTGCCCCCCAGGCCACCTGCGGCGCCGTTCGCACCGCCCGCGGCGCCGTTCGCACCGCCCGCGGCGCCGAGGACGCCCATGGGACCCATCGTCAGGCCTCCGCTACCCATGCCGGGTACGAGCGCCAGCTGGCGCTTCGCCTCCTCATCCGGTGGCGGGACGGAGAAGGGGCGTTTGAGCAGCGAGCCGTGCAACGAGAGCATGTGGTTCGCAACAGTCATGCTGATCACTGTGAATACCAGGCGCCCAGACGTGCCGCCGAGACGACTGCCATCTTTCTTGTTGCGCCAGTACCCGAGCGAATGCGGCGCATGCCCGTCTGCATCTCCATCGGCATGGTCGTTCGTGCCATCGCTCCCCGCTTCCGAGCTTGGAACAGAGTTAGCAGGATCTTCGTGCACAAACTCCCAGTGCTTCAGGGAGATGTGTGGTGCAGATATCGAAGCGTTGAATGTCCCTTGCAGCAAGAGTGACACATGAGAGGGTGAGGAGAGCGATATTTTCCCCTCTGCTCAAGCAAATGCCAGTGTGAATTAGTCTGTGCCGTCAGCCCACGCCACGAGAACTCTGGCTTACCAAGTCGCATGCCTATTCTTGGGCTCCAGATGATGCACGGTACGCCAACGGGTACGATGGCGTACGGCGAGTCAGCATCGACCCGCGCCGAGTCAGACTGGAACAACTTGTCGTCTGATTCATGTGTGATGAGCACGCCTTGCAGTTGTGCCACGTACCTACACGCAAGACCCATGTTAGTTAGTTTTTGGTTGGTGAATGGCCGATGGCGCGGATTCTCGAGAAAGACCGCCACTTACTTCATGACCATCGTGTCGAACAGTTCAGCAACCGCTCTGGATGGGCTGTTGGCCCATACGGGTGGGATGGGCATGTAGACGAGCGGATACACTCGCTGGTAGGCCGATTGTGGTGGATCTGACTTGGATACTTTCCGCTTGACCAACAAGACAGAGGTCGATGCTTCGTCCATAGTCGTGTCCGCGGCTGAGGATGCGATCGAGGTGTCTCCTGCAACGTCTGCCGCATTATGTTTCTTTCTATGTTTCTTGTCCTTCTTTCCATTCACGGCCGGCACTCCGTCCAGGTCTTTGGATACATCAGCCTCTGAAGCGGAAGTTTCCCCCTCGGACCCAGAGTCCGCCTCGGGCCTCTGCTTATCCTGTCGTCGCTGCTTTTTCGGCGACGCAGCTTCGTCAGTTCCTGAAGATTTTCGCGACTTCTTGACCTTGCTGCTGCCTTTCTCGCCCTGAGATTCACGCTTTCGTTTCGAGGTGGACGAGACTGATGGCATGAAGTCCGACGGCCAGGTGTCGGCTGGCGGTGCTTGGCTCATCCTGAATACTAAACCTTCTGCTTGGAAGCGGATGGTGTGGAGAACAAACTTCCTCGGTTGCACGCTCTATATGGCTTTGCCGTAACCGTATACGGGACGATAACCATGCAAGTTACCTGCGACCTTCCTGCTCTTCAGCTCGTCGCACGAACTGCAAGCAGCAGCCGTCGGTCAGCCGTACGTGCAACTTTTTTGGTCACTGCGAGGTTCGCCACAGATGGGGGAGCGGAAAGCACAAAAAATTTGCCATCACGTGACCGTCGTATTCAGCAGAGAGTAGCGAAACTTGTTGCCGCGTCGCCAGCAGAAATTCCTCGCGTTCAGACACGGGCGCAGTGCCCACAAACCGACGCCAATCGCAAAAGAGTTGCTGAGAAAGAAGCTCGACCTTCCTCTCCTCCCTGATATGATGCTACTCTTCTTTTTGTAATCCTCCTTGCTCGCATCTCTAGACTAGAGTCGAAGCAGCTAGTGTGTCGAAAAGGTAACATCTCAGCGTTATATTCAATCCAAGATGTCAGCACAACCAGGAGCGGGCGGCGACCAGGTGCCCACCTTCAAGCTCGTCCTTGGTAAGTTGACCTGGGGTCGCATCTACCTGTCCAGCGTTCCAGGCCCTCTTGCTCGTCAAAGATCCTTCGGGAACCTACCAAGCAGCTCGCAACGGCTTGTTATGAAGGAGTCGGAGCATCTTATTCCGGCTGACATTTTTAGTCTATCGTGCGCTGATGGCGAAACACGTTGTCGCGAAGGAAGGAAGGAACCGCTATCGACCCGGCTCACAAATCTGCCACCCGCTGCATTTTGCTAGGGGCTGCGCAGGGCCGTATTGGATATGGGCAAAGCTTACTCTCTAGCAGCAAAGACATGTCTGCACCGAATCTTGCTACTGTATGTCGCTTCGGCCATCTTGGCAAGAGCTGCAGGGTTTTTTCTGCCAGCGTCAGTCCTCAAGAGAGCACTCTAGCTTTCTTGCCGCACATAGTGGCGGCAGGGAGATCTTTAACCCATTTGCTTTTTTGCTTCGTAAAGTAAATGACGCGCTGACAATTCCCATGCACTTTGCTTTGTTTTTCATCATGCAGTCGGTGACGGTGGTACCGGAAAGACCACTTTCGTGAAGCGCCACTTGACCGGAGAGTTCGAGAAGAAGTACATTGGTGAGCAGTCTTCATTGTGCGCGAAAGTGTCGACTTGTAGGCGTCGTTCTCTAATGCGCCTTTTGTTTCCTAAACGCCAGCCACCCTCGGTGTTGAGGTTCACCCCCTTGCCTTCTCCACCAACTTTGGCAACATTGTGTTCAACGTTTGGGACACCGCAGGCCAGGAGAAGTTCGGCGGTCTTCGGGATGGCTACTACATCCAGGGCCAGTGCGGTATCATCATGTTCGATGTCACCTCGCGTATCACCTACAAGAACGTGCCCAACTGGCACCGCGACCTTGAGCGCGTGTGTGAGAACATTCCGATCGTCTTGTGTGGCAACAAGGTCGACGTCAAGGAGCGAAAAGTCAAGACTGGTGCCGTCACTTTCCACCGCAAGAAGAACCTGCAATACTTTGAGATCTCGGCCAAGTCCAACTACAACTTTGAGAAGCCTTTCCTCTGGCTCGCACGCAAGCTCGTCGGCAACAACAACCTTGAATTTGTCGCTGCGCCGGCACTTGCCCCGCCAGAGGTCCAGGTCGACCCGGCACTCATGGCCAAGTACCAGGAAGAGCTGGCAAGCGCTGCTGCCGAGCCGCTGCCGGATGAGGACGATGGTGATTTCTAAGCGGCGTCTTAGAGTTACGTAAACGTTGTGGCCGCTTCTTTCCTCAACACCAACTGCCGCAGAGCCACAACACAAACATACATCGCCGCTTCCGTCCGCATTCCCAGTCTTGAAGGCATCTGGACTTGGATCACTCATCGCGCCCCAGATCATACCTGCCAATCAGTGGGGGAGAGGGGGCTGGGGGTTTACATGCACAATAACATTCCGCATGTGAATGTGGTTTCTGCTGACGCAGACGCGGCAGGCAGCAGCGACCGTCTCTCCTCCCCTCTTCACCCTCTTCTCATACTTCATGTAGCAACTCGCACCGCCTCGGCTTGATAAAAGAGAACACGTGTTACCAGCAGCTGTCCGTTCGTTTGGTAGCTGGTCTGTGGTGCAGCGCTGATCTATGTTGAGTGCTTGTACCTTGGCCATTGTGTGAGCATGCAATTTGGATGCGCGATGGATATAGGTGGCGGAACGTCTCGCCTACAAAAAATTTGGCTGGTGACGGAACGACCACTCAGATCGGGGTCGCACGAGTCGATATGGTAATGGGCTCATGGTCATCCTGTACCCTGTACGTGTAGTACCTGCTCGTGTAGTTTCAAATCAGGATCTACGAGGCAACAGCGCCAACGATCATTTTTCGAGGCTTTGGGAACCAGTCGAAGACATCGAAAGAGGCTTATCTGCTTGCCCTGCAGGCTGCTCACAAGGGCGGAGAGAGGCGTATCAACGCGGGCACGTTGGTCCAAGCATCTCACCTCCGACCCGGCTCGGCAAGCTGGGGTAGGCTACTCTCTGTTCTTAGTTCGATGCGCCCGGTGTCGCAGGAGGCTTGAAGCTAAGACATGTCACAAGTGGCAGTGAAAGCTTCAACGATGCCTCCTGCTGCAACGTCGAGCAGTAATCCACGCTCTCGCATGGCCACTTCGTCGAAGAGCGCGACCAATATCAAAACTTGCAACGCCAGCGCCGCCGCTGCCGCTGTCGTTGCCAGCAATTCAACCAACTCGATGAAGGGAGTAAAGCGGTCTCGCGAAGGCATTCTGAAGAACTCATTGCGGAGGAGTGGAAGCACATCTTCCATCTCTACGATCGGCGCAGCTGGGACCGATGGGGAGGAGGCGCAGACACCTATTGCAACCACTCCAGCGCCAGCCATGCCGATGTCCATTCTGACCAATCGCACATCGGACAGCGACAGTGGGATATCAGGCTTGCCGCCTAGCTCGCAACCCTCGTCATTCCCTTCCAAGAGGCGCAGTGGAGCAGACAGTGCGAAAGTAATGAGTAGCGCTGCAGGAGCAAGCACGGGGAATACAGGCGGCGTTACGTCTGGAGAATTTGCTGCCGCTTCTGTGTCATGGGTCACCGGTGCAGAGAGCCTGAAGCAAGGAATGTACATGTCTTTCGTGACAAACGCTTTAGCGCAGAAAGCAGCTGTGAGTCGCCACAAGACCAGGCTCAGTCTTTCATGCAGGGTCTAACGTTTCTTTTGTGCTGGAACCGCCAGGGTAGTCCGACGCAGTACTACGAGCTTGTATCAGCTTTTCAGATGCCAACGAACAATGCAGGCGTTGCAGCGGCAGCAGCAGGTCGAAGCATCGCATCGCCATCGACGCTGCAATCATGGCTCACAGCGCTCTCCTCCCACGTCTCGAAGCTTGACACCAGTCACACAGCCCTTGTTGAGAACATCCTCCTGTTGCCCTGGACGACGATGAACGAAAGTTTCGCTACTGTATGGGTCCGCTTTGTCTGTGCGCTTGTCAGCGCGCGAGGCGAGTGGATCGCCCCGTTGCTCGAGCGAGCAGTCAAGAGCCTTTCCTTTCGCTCCGACTGGCGGGCGCTCGCATTTGCCGGCTTCTCCTCCGACCCTCTTGAGCATTCCTCGCAGGCGGCTACCGCCAGCGCGCCAACAAGGCGACAGATCTACGCACGTATCCATCGTTTAATCCGGCAGCTGATTGTACTGGTCCCAACATTGCCCTCCCAACTCGGCTCGCTGCTCACGCGCCACTTCCCGCCGAAACGAGATACGCGCACGGCGCAGCTTGTCTTCATTCGCAACGCACTCAAAGTCTGCGAGTACTGCCAAGAGCTGTCGGAAGGCGTGCTTACCATGGTAATCGGCCGGGCGCTGCAGATCGACGTTGAGATCCAAGTCGAGTTGGATGAGCTGGAGGATGAGCAGGGCGCTGATGGCTTTCGAGAGGAACAGCTCGATCCGTTTGACCGGCGAATCGACGATGAGGATGATGAAGACGATGACAACTCAGATGCCGGTTCCATCAGCGACGACGAGGCCTTGCTCGCCGGTGGTGACGGAGGAGATGACTCGGATGGATTCTCCATTCTCTCTGACGAAGATGTCATGGGGAACGATTCAGAGCAAGTACGCTCCATGGTGCACATTCGCAGTCTCGTCCAACACCTAGACAGTATCATGAAGACAGCATTTGATCATCTGAATGGACTACATATACACTATCAACAGCAAGCACAGCATTACAGCATCAGTACGGCCAGCAACCATTCAATCGGCAGTAGCCATTACACCTCGGCTTTCGGCAAACGGACACCATCCCCACCCGAGCCGATTCTCGAGAGTGCTCCTCTACGTGGTACGACTCAAGGAGGCACAAGTGCAGATCGAGCGCTGTACAGAGACATGCGATCTGAGAGTGCTGCTGTGCAAGCGCGACAGAGCCTCTTCGCCTCTTTGCTCTCCATCTTCGCTCGCTCGGTCCTGCCCACTTTTAAATCGCGCCATGTGCAGTTCCTGCTCTTCTGGTTTAGCTCGCTCGACCCTGAGTACGCAGACTTCTTCCTCGGTGCCCTGCTTTCCAAGGCTCTGTACGGCAGCGTTGACATGAACACCAGTGCCGTCAATGGCGGCAGCGGAGGAGCAGGGGACGAGCCGCCCATCATCCGTGTCGCTGCAGCGAGCTATATTGCCTCCCTCGTCAGCCGAGCCAAATTTATCGATGGTGACATTTGTCGTGACGTCGTGGAAAACCTGTGCGCTTTTCTTGAAGGTCACCTCGAGGCGTACGCCACTCCAGGTACAAGCATCGCCGCAGCGCCTCCCGGAACCGATCCGCACACCGTCTTCTACTCAGTCGCGCAGGCGACCTTCTACATCTTTTGTTTCCGATGGCGCGACTTGACAGCCAGTGCAGCGAAGCGAGACATGAGCAACGGAGGTGCCACTTGTCTCAGCACCAGTCAAGGCGGCGGGGAATGCAATGGCAGCGCTTTTGGTGTATCCCCGGCTTTCTCGTTCTCGTCCGACAGCAAGAGTGCGGCAGGCGACTCGGACGTTTCCGTGCCAGTTGGGCCTGGTGTGCCAATCCCAGGCCTTGCGGGGGGAAGCTGGGTCGATGCTCTCTCCGTACTCGTCCGCGCAATCACGAGCTGTCTCAACCCTCTGCGGTACTGTTCGCCTGCGATCGTCCATCAATTCGCGCACGTTGCGCAGCACGCCGGGTTCTTCTACTGCTTTTCGATTATCGAGGCCAACAAGCGCAGCGCCAAAAACGAAGATGTGGTCAATACGTTCATGCGAGACGGCGCAGAGCGAGTGGGGACGCCTACGGCTGATCGACCGAATACCCAACGAGAGACTCGGCATGATAGCCCGAAGCATCAACAGGGTCGCCAGCAGGTGGCAGACAGCCAAGTCAGCCTAGTCGATTCCTTCTTCCCCTTCGATCCGTATCGCTTACTGCTATCAGCGCCCTACGTCGACTCTCTGTACCGGGAATGGAGCGAAGTCGCGCCTGATGACGAAAGTGAGGACGATGAAGAAGACTCTTCGGAGGACAATGAGCAGACCATGGATGACGACGATGCGGAGGAAGACGAGGAGCACAGCACATATCGCATATGCGCAAGCGGAAGTGGAGCCCTGGCTGTGCCCAATGGGCGGCCAAGGTCACCCAAGAAGAGTAAAGGAAAGGGCAAGACCAAGACCAAGATCACAAGCAAGATGTCCACTTCCTTCTCTTCGGCGGCGACAGGCAGCGAAAGCGAGGCGCAGAGCTCTGTTGCTCAAAGCTTCGAGGCTATGAGCATCAGCCCATTTAAGCATTGAGGCGACCCCAGCCTCTACATATCTGTGCATTCTACATCTGTATTTCAACGCATTCAGCTTTCGGTGAATGTAGACAAGCCTCATTGAACGTATAGAGCAACAAAAAATCGCCGTGATATGCACAAGATGGTGAAGTCTGTTATACAATGCGATAGCTGGACCCAAGTTGAAGTGCTGAACCGAACCGACAAATAATGGACGCAACCATCAACGACTGCGAGACGTCCCCATGCCTCTCTTGCCCGCGAAGAGCCATTTCGGCTTGACTTCCCGAATGTGGCGATCGCTTTCTCCGGCCTTGGCGTGCATGTTGCGCTCGCGGATGCTGAGGTCATGTAACTTGACCGCCTTCTCACTCTGCTTCGCGTCGCGCATGCCCGCCGTCGCGCGATTGCTGCGCGGCAGACGCTTGGTCGCGGCACTGACCGCTGTCGCGCGCGACGACGTGGAGCCGGAAGCGACACGCTGGTTGCTGTTGCTCTTGCGCGCTTTTCGCGGCTTGGCGGTTTCGTTGTCGACGTCCATAGCGCCCTCGCCGTCGTCTTCATCGACCCAGGCCTGCTCGTCCGCATCCTCCATCTCAGCATCTTCCTCCTCGCCGGTGCGCTTGCGTTTCCCGCCGATGATGCCCTTCGCTTTGGCCAGGATCGCTGCGCGCGCCTCAACGCTGCTCGGGTCGATGCCGAGTTCGCGCAACTTGGCGCTCATGTCGCCCAGCGTACGGTTCTGCAACTTGCGCGGAACGGTCGAACGCGCTTTGACAGTCTTCTTCTTGTTCTGGCTCGCAAGCTTTGCGGCGGCCTGTCTGTCGCGGATGGCTTGCGCCGCAGCACGCACCTCCTCTTCCTCCTCGTCGACGATTTCTTCTTCAGACTCGTCGTAGAATCCTTCGGCCTCGAGCTTCTCCTCCTCTTTCTCCAGTTCCTCGAGACGCTTCAGAATGTCCGGGTCGACAAAGTCGGCGATGTTCTTTCCATTGGAAATCTCCGGAATCACATCATACTTCCAGTCATCGTTCTCGAGAAGGTACCGCTTCTTCATGTCAATCGAGAAGACGCCTGCACCTCCATTCTCCTCTTGCAAATCCCGCTCGGTCTTGCGCCGCTCGGGATCATCCTTGTTGTACTTCTTGCGGATCGCATTGGCAGCATCTTCCCCTTGTGCCTGGGCAGTCTGCTGCGCATTGAGCAAGACTTCGGGGATAAACGGCTTGCGCTCGACCTCGTCGCGCGCCTTGGGCTTCGCCACATGGATCCTGTTGAGCACATTGGTCTGCTCCGCCTTGTGGCCCTTGACTTTGGCATCAACACGCATCTCAAGCAGAGCATCACAGGCCGCATTCCTAGCGTCCATGATGCCTTCCTCTGTGAAAGTCGAAATCTCGCGCAGGATGACGCTGCCCTTACTTTCTTCCACGATGCTCTTGATCAGCTTGGCACGTTCGTCTTCGAGGTCGGACAGCCTCAGGACGTCGATCTTGTTGATGATCAGGAACGTCGGCTTGTTGTTGAACAGCGGCTTGATCGAGTTGAACAGCTGAACCTGTGCCTCGACAGTATATCCGCATTGTTCGCTTAGGTCCATGAAGTAGAGGACAGCACTGCGCAGATGGGCCAGAGCGGTGATGGACTGCATCTCGATTGTGTTCATCTCCTCCAGCGGGTGGTCGAGGATACCTGGCGTGTCGATCACCTGCCAACGGAGGTATTTGTAGTCCATGTGGCCAACGAAGAGCGATTTAGTCGTGAACGCATACGGCTGGACGTCGACATCGGCACGGGTGACCTTGTTGATGAACGAGGACTTGCCGACGTTGGGGTATCCGCAGATGAGCAGTGTGCGCGTGGAAGGGTCGATCGAGGGCAGACGCGAGATGTGCTGCCGGACCTGCTCGAGGTAGGCCAACGAGTCCTTCTGACGACGCATGATGGTCGCCATACGGCCCATGGCGGCGCGCTTCAGCTGCTTGCAACGGTACAGGCTGTCGCCGAATTTGAGCAGGCGGCAGTAATCTTTCGCCACCTGCTCGATCAGATGCTTTGCCGTGTTGAGCTGGCCGAGCGCCAGCTTGTAGTGGTTCTTGTCATAGAGCACACTGCAGGATGTTCAAACATGTGTCAGCACGCACGTATAAGACAGAGTCATGTCCAATATGGTACTCACTTCATCAGAGAAGAGATGAAAGGATGTAGGTTCTGAGAATTGAGAGGCAAGTCTTGTTAGATATGATACCGTTCGAGGACGACATGCTGCAATCAACTCACTTCGAGGATCGGAAACTCCTGCAAGATGGCAGCGAGCTTTTCGGTGAAGGCATCTTTCGTGAACATGACTTTGCGCATGTAAAAGCTGCGAATACGCGTGATCTTCCATCCTGGATGAACGACTGTCGGGGTTTTGCGCTGCGTCTTGGAGAGGACGATATCGAGAAAGTCGTTAGCCGACGGCACCGGCGCGATGGATGCCTTGAAGGTCGCCATGTTGGCTGTTATCGCCCCGTGAAGTTTCTTATTTGCCGGTGTTAGGGCCGAAGGAGTGCGCTTTGCGAGTGAAGTCAAGAGATGGCAGGGGTTGCAATTGACCTTGCGGGACCTGTCTACTTCAGACCGGTGCAAAGCGACAAGGTGCAACTCAACCACTGAAGGAAAGAGTTTGTCTTCTTCAATTCAAGAAACCTGCCTGATGACAACGGAGTGCGCAGACCAGGCTTCTGTAGGAGCAGGATCGGGTTGGTTGTCAGGTAGAGGAGAGGATCATGGACCTGTACAGGCTGAACTGGTTGCTTGATCACAGCTCTCCGCTCCGGACCAAATTTTTCCAACAAGCGGTGGTTGCAAGCTTACACAGGTTCCGAGTTCCGTCATTCCGAGGCAAGTTTCTCTCGGCCGAGAGACCTGTCCAACACAACACCGACTCTCACCATGTGCTAAGAACTGTTCAACGATTAAGACATTGATGGTAAGTCTGCACCTTCGAAGTCAAATCCTCGAAAGGAGGGAAGGTCCTGTCATTGTCTCATCTTGTGCATAAGCTCTCGCATGCAAGATTCATCTCTCATCGCTCATCTCCGGGTGGCAAGGCACTTGATCACAGAATGTCCATGGCGGGACCGAGGGACGGGTTCGGAATGCGACCGACCACCGTCCACTTATGTGCTCTGGAAGCGGCTCTCATCTTGGTGCACGTGTCCGCTCACTTCACTTCGCCTTTCCATCGTTCCACATATGGCCTGCTCACACTCATCCAGGCTTCAGATGCCCTCTGATAAATTCAGATGACCAATCAGGGTATCCATGATAAAGATGAATACGGCTGTTAATCTACACGAAATGCTTCTACAACGAAGCGGCTGTCCGAGCGAAGCCGGGGAGGAAGCGGTGAATATCTGCTAGCATGTCCCTTACACTGTTCGAGGACGGCTGGAAGGGATGGGCTGAACTTGCTTTGGAAGCAAGCAATTATGCCAAGTACATGTGCTGACCAAGAAGGCCCACGCGCAGGGCCGATCGTCGCACCCACAACGCGACGCGACGCGATGAGCAAGCTGCACATTTCAGTCCTACTTCACTCTGCTACCTCACCCCGCTTGGCTCGCGCCATTTCGTGTGGACGCATGGGTTGCTTGGACAGCAAGACTGACCAGCACCTTGTAGGTTGCGATTGCTGCAACACATTCAGCCAGGTGGTACCATATCCGCCAGCTGACCCGCTCCAAGTTCCAGCAGACACATCGATCAAGTCCGAGCGAGCGATCCATATGAACTGTTGATTGCATGGACCGAACATTCCCCGCAGTGGCCGTTGCAACACAACGGCGGTGGCGGGAGCCTGACCATCTCCACCCTGCCGCCGCCGCTCCTGATGTATCGTATATAGCGTGAACCTTTCCTTCGTTCTGACAACCTACCGAACACATGAGTGAAGCCCTTCACATCGCCTTTGACTCCTTGCCAGCGTGCCAAGTTATTCGATCCCTCGAGCCGCATTGCTTGGCAGCCGATCCGATGCGAGCTTGCGTAAGGCTAACCCCTCTTCCAGATGAACGACACAGACGGCAAAGCAGAGCAAGTTTGCAGCAGCGACCATGCTGCAGCAGCAACAGATGGCCATACTCTCGACGCACTCATTGGAGCTGAAAGGGCGCAGGACGGACAGCATCTTGAAGAGCAAAACCAAATGCGAGCGCCTTTGAAACGCCCATTCGTGTTTGACACTTCAGGCTCAAGCGCACCAACGAGCATTGCGCTCTCCTCTTCGCATTCATTTTCACACTCATCATCGTCAGCATCGACCAGCATCCCTTCTCTCCCATCGGTGACGTCGATCTTGGACATCAGCACGTGGATACAACAGCGCGACAAATCACCCCAACCTTCTCTGTCGACTATTCCGCATCGGTCAACTCCTCATGCCTCACCTGACCCTTCATTGCGGCCGTCACAGAGTGCTGAAGCACCGGCAGGTACGGATGCAATGAAGCTTTCATCTTCTTTGGCCTATGTGAACCGCCCATTGCAGTGCATGGAGGACGGATCAGCCGTAGATGCCTCGACAGGCCGCGAGAAAGTGTTGCGGCCATCCACAGGCGGCAACACAGAAAGTTGCCTGCATGAGGACAAAGCGCCTGTCAGAGGTAAGAAGGCAGGGACGGCGGTTGCAGATGGTTGCAAAGCGCCTGCAACGCCCAATTCACAGCTGAAAAGGTCACGGAAGAGGAAATTAGCTCAAAAGATTACAGTCTTCGATGGCGAGTCTTTGGAAGCTCCTGCAGGCATCGAATCTAATGCAGATGAGCTCCTTCCTGCAAAAGTGGTGGCATCAGCCAAGTCGCCAACATCGTCGCGCACAGCAAAACGTGCCAAAAACACCGCCAGGACTGCCGCTGCGCCGAAGAATGCTCGTCGCTCTCAATCTGCCAACCAGCCGTCGGCACGATCTTCAGGCCTCGTCCGCGCGGCGCCAGGACCACTGGCACCCGTCCTGTTGCACACTCAGCCACACAGGGCGCAACCTTTTGGAGCGCCGACTGAAGGAGAAAGATATATCCCTGCTTACCGAAAGTCAGTGTCTCCGGCTGGAGATCAAGCACGAAGCAGAACGTCAGCGGCACCTACAGCAGGCGCCTCTGCATTTTCATCTGCTGCGGGCGCTGCGCTTGCGTCGTCCGCATCGAACTTGAGCGCTCCAAGCACCACCGGATTTGGACGACATGTGCGTGAATCAACGGTGCCACAGAGCGACTTTGCTTATGGTCAGGCTGCGTCACCCGCCAATCCGCTGATCCAGGCGCGACAGGTAATGGGCCAGACACAAGCTTATGAAGTACAGCAGCAGCAACAGTCTCAGCAACACGGGAAATTTGCTCAACCTCAGGCGGGCCGAATGGTAACTTACGCCGCGCTCGAACGACAGACAGAGGGACCAACCTTGCAAACAGATCCAGACAATACGATGCAGTCAACCCACAACGTGAGCTCCAGCACTTCCTCCCTTGCCCAGCCAGCTTTTGCGGGGCATGTTACCACTTGTGCTGAGGTTCCAGGTCGACCTCGCTCATTGTACGCGGTCGACGGGGCTCCTGATCACCCGACCAACCGTAACATTGGTATATGCTCTTCTAGTCCGGCACGGAGCATCACAACAGACATCTGGGACCCTTTATTCGTGCAGAGGGTGAGCGAGCAGACCGCATCCGGATTGGCCGTTTCTGCTCACCAAGGAAGCCTCGGTCCTGCGCACCACGGCCATCACCAGCAGCACCTGCGAGGAACCGTGGACGATGGGACGCGCGGCATTCAGGGACCTGGTAACTCTGGCGATCCGAGCCCCCGGTCCCTCCCTCGCAATAGCATGGGCAGCGTTCCCATGGCTAGCAGTTCTGTGCCGAGCGTCATCGCTCGCACAGGCGGTGGTAGTGATACTCAAACACCTGTGCAGATCAGCGCCTACCAAATGAACGAGATCCGCCACTTGCTCAGCAATTACTACGCATGCACAGATGCAGTCAGGCGGCACGAAGAGGAATGGCAGGAGGCGATACGCCGATTCGACGTACAGGCTGCCAGGCTTGGCGATCCCAACTATGCGCAAGTGACGACAGATGTGGAGCGTGCTGCTTGGAGAGAATTGTAAGTCTTGCACTCCTGGTGCCGCAGTAGGGCGGCTTCCTGGGATCTAGCTCCCTGATGACGTATCTGTTCATTTATATTGTGATCAGCTTTCGCGAAGCGTACATCAACGAAGTCATCACACTTCGCGAGCTGGCCATCGTGGTTCGCAAACTGCATCGCGACTGCCGGCAGATCATGGTTCGTTTACCACCCGGAATCGATGTGCAGGTCTTGCAGCCGGTGCATGAGTACCTGACTGCGGCGCTCGACCTAGAGGCACGCGCGTCGGTACATGAATGGCGTCTGAGGTGCGTTTAAGCCGCTTTGCTTGCACTGGATTGCTACTTCAGCGGAACGCTGATGGCGCTACACTTTCATAAACACAGGAATACTGCGTGACCGGGGTTGATCATTTCGAGGGAAGGTGATGTAGCCTGCGGCCACGAATGCGCAGCCAGGCGATGAGAAACATACACCGTACAGAAGACCAAATTAATAGCGAAAGCGAACTGGAACTGGAACTAGGTGCATTTGAATACAGAATAATACGCCGTGGTCTACGTAATCGACGGCCAGAGAACGGATCAGAGTTTCTCGGCCTGACCCTCTGTTGCGCCCTTCTGCGCCTCGAATTTCTTGTCGTCTCCGGGTGTGAACTTCAAACTAACGCTGTTGACACAATGCCGTTCGTCCGTGGGCGTATTGTAACCCTCTCCCTCAAACACATGCCCCAGGTGACCACCGCAAGCGGTGCATGTGATCTCGATGCGCTTCATGCCGAAGGAGCGGTCGACGTGCCGGTCGATCGCGCCTGGCAGCGCATCGAAGAATGCCGGCCAGCCGCAGCCGGACTTGAACTTGGTGGCAGATTTGTAAAGGGGCGTGTCGCATCCGGCACAGGTGTAGATGCCCTCCTCATAGTTCCGGTCGTACTCGCCAGTGCCCGCCATCTCGGTGCCTTTCTGACGCAGGATGCGGAACTGGTGCCGGGGAGAAGCCAATCAGTATTTGGTATTCAACGCGTCATGCAGAAGGCGGGTAGCGAATGTGCTCACCTGCTCCGGGTTCAGATGAGCGCGCCATTCCGGCTCACTCTTGCCCTTGGCGTATACTCTGACTGCTTTTTCGCCCATCTTCCTGATATCGTTTTCAGTGTTGCGCAAAGCAGATGATCTGATCAGGTTAGAGAGTCAAGGAGACAAAGTCATTTGTGCGGAAAGGTTGCCGGTGACGTCGTGCAGATTGTCAGTGGTTGGCAGCCATAGATCAGATTGAGACAGGATGATGGCGGAAAGGGGAGAGAGGGGGGCGAATACAACGGTGCAAGCCCGCACGCAGCGATTCAGAACGAGTTGCAGTTACTTGAACGTCAGCGTCAGCCTCTGTCGCAGCGATGCACACGCTGGCGCAAAGACCGAGGAACTCACGGCTTGGAATCAAACAACCCAGAAAAAGAGATACCTAGCGTGGCGGTAGTGGCAAAAGCACGACTCGCCGGAACTGCTTTGCTGCGCACGACGTGACCCGCAGGTGCTGTAGCAGCGGTAATCGAAGGTGGTGGCGGCGAGACGCGGAGGCGGACGGATTTGGCAAGGGCGGCACCAGTCGTGCGGATTTGGGTTCTCAGCATCAAGCTCGCAATTTCTGGCAAGAGCATCTATATACCTGGGTGAAGTTTGAAGTAGAGGCCGTCCTCCGAGTGGAAGTCGGCATGTCAAGCGACATCTCATGGCTGCCACGAGTTGGTAAAATGGGGCCTTGATGGTGGCCTCAGCGATGCGACGATGTGGCCGCTCGCTGTATGATAACGTAATAAGTATTGCTTATGTAAGCATCGATTCTGTGTTTTACATAGTGTGAGATGCCATCAACAAATGATTGCCAAAAGCACGCTTTACGTAGCGGCCAGCCACTGTTGTGCCCTCCACTCGAACTTCCCTTTGCCACCCTCTCGTGTATATCGACGACTCCTCATGTCTTTGCCAGCGTGTGATACTCCTCGATGCGAGCTCACCACCAGTGATGTGAGTCCATCGCTTCGAGCTATCCGATCTTTCTCGCGTTGCCTGATGTCATGAAATGCGGTCGCTTATTGCCCTAGCCCGTTGCAGCTGGCGACCTGAACGAAACGCGGAGACATGGCACTGCACAGCCGCTCACGAAAGCTGGTCGGGACTCGCTGAACGCGAGGAGATGGTTTTCAGCAGGGGACTCAAGCTAGCACTGCTAGCAATCTCCCTTTTCTTACTAGCTGCGCTCGCCTGGCTCGCCGTATCGTCTTGCCTGGGTGACGGCCTGCGCGCTCGCCTGCAGCGTCGCACGGAAGCACTGCGCAGCGCAACGCACCGTGCTGACGGGTACGCGATGGTCGCTACTCACCAAACAAACGAAGCAGAGGAAGCAGACGATGTCTCTCAGCAGGTGTAACAACAGGAGCAAACCCGGTGCGATCGAACAATCCAAATTGCATTATTACTTGCAAGGTATACATCAATTTCGAGATCCTATGCGTTCCTTACAAAACCAATCTCTCTCATCGCCTCTGCTGAGTTGACGGATCGGCCTTTAAAGAATGGGGATACTGCGCGGCTCCTTCTTATCAGATACTGCCTTCTTGGGGAGCTCCAGCCTGAGCAAGCCATTCTCGAAGCTAGCCTTCACGTTCGCGTCTTCGTCCGTCTGAACCGACTTCGGAAGCACCCAGGAGCGCGAGAAGGAGCCGAACGTGCGTTCGCTGACGAGTGGGCGGGACACGGGGCCCTTCCCTGGTTGATGCGACTGCTGCATCTGGACGTGATGATCGCTGGTCCGCGTGGTTGCGCTTGCGACCCCACTGATTTGCGATGACGCAGAGTCAGCGACGGGGGTCTGCTGACCTTGACTTTGCACTTGCTGCTCTTGTGCAGCGACCATCGAAGACGAATCATACGAGGACTTGAAGGCGCCGGAGATGGTGAGCTTACGCGTCTTGTCGTCCAAGCTGATGTGCAGATCTTCCTTCTTGATGCCTGGCACCTCGGCCGTCACGACAAGCTTGTCGCCCTCGTCGATGATA